TCCGCAAATTGCCGTCCAGGCTGGCCCAAATTATTGGCCATGTTTACAAGCTGTAATGTCGTAATGCCGCAATCAAAATAGCTGCGGGCCAACATGAACGGAACATTTACGCTCGGCAAGGGGCAGTGGCATTGGCATTGGCAGTGGCGTTTTGTTTAAAGCAATTCGCTAAATTTTTAAGGTTTCCACCTGGGGCTGAATGGGGAAAGGGAAGAGAGCAGAGTATGGAGTAGATCAGTCCCAGAGAAAGTCCCTCATGCTAAGAACATAATTTGATATTGTTTCTCAGTGTATTCCTCTGACCACTCATATGAAACCTTTGAATTTTATTATTCTATTATTCCATGAGTACCAAAAATTTCCACTTCAAGCAAATCCCTTCAGCCGCTTCCAAGTAACTTCCATTTTGAGATTAAAATAACTTCCATCTGTGGCCCAGCTACCTGGGCTCCGATCGGCAGGCAGCATCCCAACTTCGGGGCGGGGCGGTACAAATGACAACAAAATACAAAAAGTTATTGGTGGCATTACGAGCGTGTAAACAAGCAGCCAACAATGACAGTCACCGAGCCGGAGAGAAGACCAAGACCCCACCAGTCGACGACTGAGCTCAGCTCCAGAATCCATATCGAAAAGAAAATACCAAAATTTATAACTTTCTCGTTATGGAGAGAGCTGCGCTGCGCTGCGGCCCCTCCTCGCACTCAATGCAATGGGAATGAAACTCTTTCACAAGGCAGCGGAGTGGAGCGGAGCAGAGCAGAGCAGCGCGGAGATCACTTTGTCGGCGGCTAAATTTGTCTCATCTTCTTATATTAATTTGTGTTATTGTATTTCGGCTTTTCGTAGCTCCAGCAACAGCAACAGCCACAGCATAGCGCAGCAATAATAATAATAAAAGAGGCAGCAAACAAAGGTAGCCAAAAGGTATCGGGTTTTATAACCTGCTCGAACTCATCAATTTCATTGCTAACAACACGCAGACACGCCAAAGTGAGAAAAATATGCAGGGCCTGGGACTGGGACTGGACCCGGGCCCGCCATCGACTTTGATCCGGTCTGAATCATCATCTCGATTCGAGTCGGACTATGCTGGAATTTTGTGGTTACGTTTTTTGGGGGAAGCGTCGCTGTCTCTGTCTCTGCTCTGCCAGCGTCATAAGTAAATTTTTCGTGTTGTTGCGGGGATTTCAAAAAGCCATTTAGAATAAATTAACTCGGACCTACCGCTAAAAAGATCTGATCCGATCCGATCGGATCACCGAGGAGACCCTCTCCCCCTCTCTCTCTCTCTCTCTTTCTCTCTCTTTGCATTTTCGTTTTCATTTTCGTTCTGGGTTTTTCGGCGCGGGAGCGAGTGAGACGCCGCGCCGCCTTAATCTGATCCTCATCAGCGTTGCCCCAAACAGGATTAAAATTAGTTTTTGATTACGCTTTCGAGCTTCTGGACAACGCAATTTGTGGTCTTTCAAACCCCAATTCCCACTGCTCCCACCCCTCAAGGGGCATGTAATTAGCGCTTATAGCCGAATTCTTGCCCCCAGGGGGGGACTCTTTTGCATTCGAAGGTCGAGCCTGTCTTTGTCGGCAGCGGTTTGTCATAATTTTGTGGTGGCGGCAAACTTATAAAGCTATTGGCAGGTATTTAGCCAGTCCAGGCCTGGGCCCCGGGGACTGCTCCTGCTGCTAGTCTCGGTCTCAGTCCCAGTCCCAGTCCCAACTCCAAGCTTTGGATATGTGAATGTGAAATTCCTGGTGCTCATAAATCCCCACAAAAACTTCTAATTGAGTCTTCCGTTCGAGGCACCCCAAATCACATTCCACATGTCATGCTCCTGGCCATGGCCATGGCCTGGACCTGGCTACCTACTCGTACCTACGCCACGGCCTCTCGTCTTCTCGTCTTTCAAAGACTCCGATGGCATCCAATGCGATGTGCGGCATTTGAAGAGCGTGTGAACAGCAGGCACCTTGTGTTAAAATATTTTCTGGGCATTAGCATTAGCATTATCCGAGCGATACGCATCTCGGTGGCTACCAAGCTACCAGGCTACCAGGCAGCCACACCACAGCACACAGTATCTCAAGATCTTGATCTCAGCTGGCTTTTATTATGACGTTGCTCGGCTTTTATTCTCCCCTTTTAAGGCCTGCACTCGAGTAGGGGCTTAGGGCCTGAACATTACCATTACCACAACCTCTGCTCGGCTCCATTTGCCCTGCCCGCTGGCTGATCCCGGCTGATTGATTTGGAGCTGGCTTTAATTGAAACGTTTTCTCGCTCTCTCTCTGCGTTCGACTCAATTAACATAATAGCTCTGGGCCCAGCACTTTGTAGTGGGGCTGGCTTCTAAGCAGCTCGATTTTCAATATGCAGAGTTCGATGGGTACCGAGAGTGACCAAGAGGACGAGCATTTAATTAATTGCTGCTAATTTATGGGCCTCCCAGTAGCAGTAGCTCCCAGTTCAGCTAATTTGCCTAATTACCAGCCACACCATTAGCCATGCGCACTGCTGCTACAAGTCGTCGGGGGTTTCAGATCAGCCGGCGATAAGGCACGCCATATCGTGTCGTACCAATACACTGACAGAAACCACACCGGATGCGGCCACATTTGTACTACTATAATCACTAATCATAATCGCAGTTAGTTTAGGAAAATCTGAATATTTTTTAAGTTTACTGAAAATTAAACTGAAATGATCTGTGGAAATGTTGCAAATAAATGGCACTGCCTCACAGCCAAACAAAGCAACGAACACAACTACTTAAGAAGATAAAGATTACAAATATCTATAGTGTTGTTATTTACACATTCCCCTTTGTATATCATATTTTCTTTGAGTGCATAGCTCTTTGTATTAGAAGCAAGAGCAAGCCCAACCCAACCCAATCTAGATACTTATGTAAGGACAATACGTCATTTTGTTTGTGTCTCAATTAGCAACGCTGCCAGCCAGGCACAAGTTATGCCCAGCTCTCACCTTAGCTCACCTCTGCCAGACATCCCATATACATACAGCTCCATGGCTCCGCTGGACACCATTGTGCTGGCTGTCGACCGGTGGTGTGGTGTGGTGTCACCGTCCAACTCCCTGCCGCCTGTCACCATGATTAGTTATGCTGATGACATTGTTTGTTGGCTGCAGACTGCCGCTGGTGTGCTGGTGTGGGTGCTCAGGTCGTAATTCTTTCGGCAAACATGTCCCTATACAACTCCATCTGGATGGCTGCCACTCTGACTTGTTAGTGGCTCAACGGCAGCTGCCACAGCGTCGGCAGTGGTCTCTGCCTCTGCCCCCCTGCATGTGGGTTAAGCTATTAGCCCCATGTCTGACTTGGTCCAGCCCCTCAGTGGAACTTTCATAATTAATAAAGCTGAGCAAATGACCAAAAGCACACCCACTCAACTAGGCTCAGGCACGAACAGTTTTTGGCCAAGACAAGACAAGCCATGCCTTGGCTTTTAATTAGAGGCGTGGCGGTATTGCCTGGCCACGGCTCAGATCACTGGCTCAAACGGTTTAATTATAGAAAACGATTAGATCCGAAATCGATTTACCTGATGCGGATATCGATCAGGAATGTTTGGGGAATGTAAAATTAGGAAACAATTTTGCAAACAGTTTTATTATTTAATTTGAGGAATAAAATATAATTAGCAATATAAACATTGAACATTTAATGAACATTTCCATTTGGGAACATCCACAAATATCCTTCATGGCTTTATTTCGTTGAAGTTTGGAAAGGTTGTTCGACATGTAAACTGAAAATGATGACACAACTCAGGCACAGCCCCGGCTCCGGCTCCATTCGTAGGGGAAGGAAATATGCGTGCTTCCTGGCCCTAGAGCTGTACAACCCTCAAGTACTGCGCGAAAAGGGGCGTGTGCACAACAGCAGATAATCTAACCTCACAATAAACACATCAAAATGGCTCTGGGTTGGACTGCGACATCAACCGCAGGGCCACACGAAAAACAGGCAGGGAGGGAAACAACCCCTTCCAGCATACAGAATGTCCTTGCCACACTCAGGGACCCAGTTTTGGGCGACTTAATTGTTAATTGTCGGACATGTTTAACAGCAACAAAGTTGCTGACTCTGCAGGGAGCAAGGAGCAGCTGCCTGCCACTTCCTTGCCTCATCCTCATCCTCACCCTCATGCCCATCCCTACACCACAAGCAATTGAGAAAGAGCAGCCATTTCCGTTGATACTTTAGTTGGAGAGATCATTCGCCCCGCGTATTAATATTGAGCATTAATAAAAATCCCCATCGAGTGGCGCAAAATTGAATTACGCGCGATAAATAAACAATTTCTAATGGGATTGGGTCGGGGTCGGGGGGTTCAACTGGGTTTGAGGCGATTTCCGCCGCGGTATACTTACCAAAACATCAATCAGCGGACGTATTACCTTTAAACATGCCAAAAACAAATACCGGCAATCAAAATCCCGAAACCGAGCAAGGCCCCAATCGAATCGCTTACACAAACAGCTCTCGCACTCACAGAGGAAATCATTCAACTCGGCCGGGTCGGGCCGGGCCAATAAAAGGCGTCCGCAAAGAATCCAGCGGGTTTTTACGAGCACAGATTTGTTATTGTTTATTGTCTATTATGAATTCCATCGAATTGTGTTTTGAAATTGTTTCAACCACGAGCACGGGCTTTTCGGTTCACTGATTGAATCGAAAGTGCCAGCGAATGCGTACAGATTATAAAAGGCGATCATTAAAACTAGGCAACAACAAAACGATGGTTAGCTCAACGATGGGGATGGGTATGGGTATGGGGATACACCCGATGCGCGGCAGAAAGGTTAAACGAATGCGAGAAGAGCCAAAAGCCCCATAAAGTTGCCGTTTTATGATCAGATCAGCTGTGTGTGAAGCGCATAAAAAGGTGACTGATAGCTTGACTGAATACTCGTAATTTACGATGCCATCACACCTTTTTGAACTCATTCTGATGCTGACGCTGATCCATTGCAGATCCCTCAACGCTGAACATCTTTGCAACACGCTCCAATCCAAAGAAGAAACGCAAGTCCCGCACAGCCTTCACCAATCAGCAGATCTTTGAGCTGGAAAAGCGTTTCCTATACCAAAAATATCTCTCGCCAGCAGATCGCGATGAGATAGCCGGCGGACTGGGGCTCTCCAATGCACAGGTGAGTATGCTATGCCCATAGACCAGATCAGAACTGATGATTCGAAAACTCAACAGGTGATCACTTGGTTCCAAAATCGGCGCGCCAAGCTCAAGCGCGACATGGAGGAGCTCAAAAAGGATGTGCAGATCACGAAACAATTGTCAGCGAACAAAAGCTTTTTAGAGAATGTTAATGACTTGAGTATTTTAAAGACCCGACCAGTCAGCAGATCCACTGCGACCCCTACACCACCACCACCACCAGCAGCACCAGCAGCAGTACCACCACCCACATGAGCACCGCCTCGGGCCGAGCTCCCAGACGGCGAGCGGCATCGGCTCGGAAAAGGATAAGGACAAGAACAAGGAGGACCTGCGGATGCTTAAGCTGATGACTCTGATGCGCTACTCGGATGGCAAGTTGCTCTACCAGCAGCCCCCTCCCTTGCCACCAGCCACAGCACCACCACCCCCGCAGATAATGCTGCCCCCCCACATGCCACCGCCCACATAGCCGACAGACAGCACCGCTCAGCGATTAGCCTAATTTGTAAAATTACTGACTACACACGCTTTCCATTTGCGTCTAATTTGCAAAAAAAAAAAAATAAGAAGATATACAAACGCAAACATGATTTCCACATGATTTTCCTAATTGTAGTATTAAATTTCGAGAAAATTGCTTGTGATTTTGTCTCTCTATAACGTATGTGCTTTCCCATGGCACAGGTAGCAACGCAACAGCAGCACGGAACGGATCTACTACCCCTAACTTATGCGTATATTTAATGCAATTAATTATGTATGATATTTAACAATTTGTATCTTGTAATTTTATATGTCAATAGTAAACGAATATCTGCAGTTAACAAGCCCCATTTAGTATAACATATATCTGCACATGGTAGTGTGGATATGGAACGGCGATATTTTGGAAGGAACAACAGCAATCCAACCGCTCGCTGGATTTAAAATTTTATAAATAAAAAAGGAGTACAACATTTCGCCTGCAGGGCGCCTCTAGCGGACAGTGTTTGAACGTTGTTTTACATTCTTTTGTTACAGTGCTGCCATCTGTAAACATTTACGGTGCTGCCACTAGCTGCCAGGTAGAAATCATCTAGATTACATCTCTATGTAGTTGCCATGTAGAAAACAAATATATTTTTGCTACGGTACTATCGGTACGATATTTTTGTCGCCAAATATATCTACTAGAAACTAACAGAAATTCAAACAAGAACAAGAAGAATGAGCCGGGCAAAAGTGAAAAGTCTGGGCTGGATCTGAATACAAATCACCATAAACCATAACCTTATAGTTCGAGTTCTTGCAGAAGTCCCTAGATAATAAAGACAAGTTCTGTGTATCATTTATTTAAAAATTAATAGATTAGTTTTATTTGGATTGCGAATTGCCTTAGCCTAAATATTTTATGCACGTATGAAGGATACGAGAATCTGTAGGTACATATGTATATATATGTACATATGTATGTATGTATGCATGTACATATAGTACACAAGTCTCTCCACCGATATGATGTGTGTCAGGGTGTATACAAAAATGAACACCATCGATTTTTGCGCTGGCTGAGCAGTTGGCCTCTCCAATGAGGAGCGACTGCAGCTGTAAAATGGCAGAACTTTTCAAAAGTTTTTGTTTTTCTCGAAAGTTTTGTGGAATTTTGAGTTAGAGGACGACAGCGACGACTCTCTCTAGGACGCCGATCCGTCGGTAAGGTTGAGTTTCTCTGAAAGATTCACAGGACAATATACAGTTGAATGTAATTTATTTTGCGATCAGTACAGTGAAGCTCCATGCGATGGCTTCGCTACAGTTGAGTACAGGATTCAAAGAATATGATAGGTTATTTACGTATAGCATTTATTTACAGAAGCGAAGCTCTGGGTCGATGAGGCTTAAGAACTAGAAAGCATTGAAAAGCAAAACAAAACTCAACTACAGGTGGGTGTAGGTGTGGGTGTGGGTATGGGACTGTGGATGGGAGTGCGGCAAATGGAAGCGTGTCTTAGTCATGCTAATCGAATACAACAGAACTCTATTACCCTATGGAATAGTGCAGAGTAGGCAAATACGAGTGAGCGAACCAGTCTACCAGTCAGGATTTATGAAATGTGGATGTGGATGTGGGAGGGTCGGGTTAATAGACGGAATAGTTATAGCGACGCTTCTTGGTATCGGTCCCGTCCCTCAATGGCATGGACATGCTGGACCCAGGACCAAGAAGGGCCGTGTGCGAGCAGCTGGGCAGAGGAGAGCCCGGGTTAGTGGTATAAGTCGAGCTACGGGTATGAGCGCAAGCGGCCGAGACAGAGCGAGCAGTAATACTAGGGAATGCGTCGCTGGGAGGGCAAAGTGAAGCAGAGTACAAACCAGTTCCGTTGTCCACATGTCCGTTGCTGAGTGCCGTCCCTGAGACTCCGTTAACTCCGTTTGTGGCCGCGCCCATGAGAGGAGCGCTGGACTTGGTGCCTGTGGAATAGATAACGTGGTTAAAAATATACAGGCACACTCATGCGATTATGCTCACCACTCGACAGATAATTCCCATTGCTGCCAATCTCAAGGTCGCCGTTGGGCAGTGCCGCAGCGCGAATCGGACTGGCGGCGGCGTTGCTGTCATCCTTCACGCACTTGATGAGGAACAGCAGCGAGGAGCCCACCAACGGCGGCAGTCCAGCCAATATAAATGGAACCGTGTACGATCCCGTGCTGTCGAAGATCATGCCGGCCACGGGTGGCCCCACGGTGAGGGGAATGGAGCTCAGTCCCAGTAGGAAGCCAATCGCCTGGGTGGCACCCGACGGGCCACAGATCTCATAGGCAATGGGCCCCAGCAGGGAGATGAAGCAGCCATCGAAGAGGCCCATAACCAGGGTGAAGGAGACGAGCACCACATAGGAGCTGGTCAGTGGCAGCAGCAGCGTGACCAGGCCAATGGACACCAGCGACAGCTGCTGCAGATACATCCGATTCACGCCGGGCATGTCGGCAATGATGCCGAATATCAGGCGTCCAATGCCCGAAGTGATGCCAATGCACATGACCGGCAGATTGACATCCTCGCCCGGGAACGTTGTCTTCACGAACTCCATCATATGGACGTAGGGCACAAAGTAGCCGAACAGAGCCAGCGGCACGCAGAGAGCCCAGATAACGAAACGCTTGCGCTTCCAGATCTCCACGTTGACAATGGAGCGCAGGAAGAGGTTGATGCGCGATCGTCCTGGCTTCTTTTTGGGCGGCTCCGGCGGCGGATGCAGCGGCTTGTACACGAACGAACACACAATTATGAAGGCCGACATGAGACTCATTATCTGTGGAATATTTACAGCTCAAGGTTCGGTGAGAGAAAACTCTGATGCGAATCACTCACCCTGAGGGTGGCCTCCAGGCCATAGCCCACCAGCAGACTGTCCAGGCAGGGCGGCAGTATCACAGTGAAGACGCTGGAGCCAGCTGTCACGAAGCCGCTCACCTTGCCCAGGTACCGCTTGAAGTAGTGCCCCAGAATGGCCAGGGTGGGCGTGTAGGCCAGGGCCGCACCAAGACCAAACATGATCCCATAGCTGAAGTACAGGGCACTGATGTTCTCCGTGAAGAACGAGGAGAGCAACAGGCCCCCAGCCGAGAGAACTCCGCCAGCGAAGGTGGTCAGTCGGAGTCCGATCTTGTCCGTCAGACAGCCGGCGACTGTTGAGAAGAGGAATGTGGTGCCAATTGCCAGGGAGCCAACGAGAGCTGTAAGAGTATAGGAAGATACAACGTTTAATTTCTCAAATACTCCTAAAGTTAAGCCTCTGATCTGTCGGATTGGCTGGGATGGATGCAAATGCCTGTCAGCATATTGACCAACTGTCTCTTTGGCTCAGACCAGATCACTTTCGTTTGACAAATCGAATCTCACGCAAGTGCGGTTAATTGTGAAACGAGCTGGGGGCTGGGGCTGTGGCTCCGACATGTCTGGCAGTCAGCTGCGATTCCAGGTATCTGCTTGCCACTTCCAGTTGGATGATGTGATGGCTGGTAACTCGATCGGGCCACAGTTGGTGGGAATCGCGGGCTGTAGCATGTTCGTATGGGAATGAATTTGGATTTAAATTTTTGTCCGCTCGTCAATAATTTTCCGCTGAACTCTGCGCGCACAAGTGGGGAAAAATCGTCGAGTAGTTGTGGGCATCGGGTAAACACTTTCGTTTGTTCCACTTTGGCCGCTCAAATTGATATTCGATTGACAGAATCAGGTTAATTCTTTGTTCACTTCATCCCCAGCGCCGATCTAATGTTGAGATAAGCCATCACAACCGACTGCGAAGCCCCACACTGCCTCTGATGAGCAATTGTCATCATCAGCCGAACGAGTGGCCATTGTCCCAAAGTCCAGCGCGACGGAGACGCCTCAAACTCACTGCACAAAATAGTTTTCGATTGCCAACTAACTTGTAGTACAACTAGTGCCACTATCAAATTCAAACAAAACACGGGGTATTCGAAGGTATGACAAAATATGTATATAAAAAACTTCAGGCTGAAGTTCAAGGAACTTTCGTATCGCCAGTTCAATTTCGAAGAAATATGAACACAAATTACTGAGAATCCACTTGCCACACGCGTACTGCTAAGCGAAAAGCTTATCTCTAGTTCCGGTCAATTTTGAATAGAAAATAATTGTTTAGAACATGAAATACAAATTCTATGCCTAGTTCAGCTGTACCCAAAGTAAACACCTAAAATTGCAGTGTCTATGAGAACAATATTCTGGGATTCTATAATGGAATTTCACCTACTTTCGACGATTTATAAATATTTATTGAACATTCGATATGGCACCAATACCAGAGAAAACAGCAACGCAGGCAACAGAAACACATAAACATAATAATTCGTACAGTGCACACTCGATAGCAGGATCTAGTTAAGGGTTTGTCTGTCTGGCAAATGTATTTCCATTGCTTTAATCTCTCAAAAGTGCGTACAACCAAGTATTCACTGTAAGTGGAAACAATCTGCCACTCTCCAAGTCGAGCAGCAGCTATGTGCTCGTATCTCGACAAAGGCAACAGTCAATGTCAATGCCACAGACGATGGCCGCTGCCGCTGTTCGGTTGCATGCCACCTACAGCACTCCTCGCAGAGCTAGTCAATGGCATTGTGCCTGAGAGCCAGCGAAAGTGGCAGAGAGTGGGAGAGTGGGCGAGAGGGAAAGAGCTACGTAGAGAATTATTAGATAATAGCCCCAACGAATGCCTCTTGAACAGAAGCCAAAAATTCTAAAAAAGAAACCGAGACGGAAGAGATTACATGAGAGATATCTGGCGGCCGGCGTCTAGCGATTGTCTGTCTGAGTGTGTGAAAGAGGGAGGACTAACCAAAATAAATCAGAGTATTTTTAGGATGCCTCATATTCAATGGGAGGGGGGAGGACAGCAGCTAGCAACATGCAATACTCGTATCTGACGCAATATGCAACGGAATTGCATCGGCTCTGGCCAATGATTTATGGCTAATTGAATGATTGATCCTGACCTCTGGCAAAGTTCTCTGATATACATGGATAAGCCACAGCTACAGCTTATTGCGCACCATTAAGTGATTGTTATGTGCCCATAGAAGTGTATAATTGACGAATTGAAACTGAGGGATGGCACGTAGTGGACCGAGACTGAAAAGCGATAAAAGCCGCAAAATATGGCACACACAACACCTCCTAGAAGAGCCGTCGCGGACGGCTCAGGTTCGGATTACGTCAAGTTTTAATCATATTGCGGAACTAAAGCCAGTCAGCCGCTGCTTCTGCTACTGTATCTGCTCCGGCAGCTGCTCCAGCCCCATGCCGGAGGATCGCTGTCAAGCAGCGGCACTTGCTGGGCTTCGACGGCAGCAGCAGCGACAGCGGCAGAGCCAGTCGACCAAGTAACTGGGTCAGTGGCGGGTGCACTCTTACCACTCTTGGCTGGCTGCATGCCGTTTGGCGTCTTTGTTTGCGGATTTTGTCTTCTGCTTTCCGTGCATCTGGGTGTTGCGCCTCTGCCAAACGGTCCGTCGTTTGTCCGCCCCCATTGAGCTCCACGCTGCGTATGCGTAATGCAGGCCACCACCAAACCTTGACAGACACTCATAACCGATTTGAACTTTGCTCGACATTCCGCCAATCCAAACATGCGCACTGTCGCTTTAGGCCCAGGCCTAGGCCTAGGCTCCAGCTGATTTTGCCCCGGTGTCTGCGAGATGGTCCGGCTATTGTTTGACACGCAAAATTGTTCCCTTTATTTCGAGCGAACTCAACTCTAGCCGACTCCAACAGACTTGACATCGCCCTCGCCCTGGGCCGCGCCGGGTGTTGAATAATGCTTTGTGATCCAATCAACTTTTAGCAATTTAATTCACTTGATGTCGGCACGTTGGATTCCCATATCGTCATTCCTACTACGTACTACAATGTTTTATTGAACCCAGCAAAAACAGCAGCAACAACAGCAGCTGCCACGATTTGCGTTGAACGGGGGCAGGATTGGGGGTAAAGTTTACGCAGCAGCAATGCACTCGAAATGTCCGTTGAATTCGGCAATGATAAATATAATATCATGTCGGAAAAGCATGTCCTTCTTATCTCTTCGATGAATGCCTAGAAGGATGAATGCAATTAAACTTCAGGACACTTCTTTTTTCATTTAAAATATGGTAGCCACACATTAATTCCCTATCCATAAACCTATAAATATAATCCCATATTGCCCATAATTTAACTTGATAATCTAACAGAAATTCTGTGGCTTGAGCAGCTGCTCAATAATGGCCTATAAAAATATTATTCAAATGAAATGAAATCAAATCTTTGCGAAGCATTCAACTGCGACGAAGCAGAATATGAATATGAATACATTTTTGGTTTCTTCAATAATACGAATCAAAAGCTAAGACCCCCTCAGGGTGCTATCAAAGCCATAGAAAATATATTGCACATTATATATGTACATACATATGTACATACATATGTAGGTACAATATGTAGGCTGACTTGGTGCCTATACAGCAGATAGCGGCTTGAAAAACAACTGTCCAGTTCCCATCTAATCTCATTTGCGCTCTCCTTCTGCATAATTACAATCACAACGCCAGAAATTTGTCATAAATTCAGAATTAATTTGCCGCTGGCCCATCTGCCGTTGACTGAAGGGATTACGTCCGCAAATTGCTAGGTCTGTCTTGGGGCCAGCCCAAGACCCATCCACACCCCCCAACTCGCCATGAGACTCAGACTCACCCGCTTTACTGGAGGCCTCCGGATCACCCAATGCTTTGAGCCGGTCGCTTAACAGTGAGTGCAGCACGCCGTAGGTGTTGATGAAACCGAAGATGATGCCGTTGCAGAGAAAGGCACTGACCATGACGAGCCAGGCCCGGGCACCACCATCCGGCGGCTCCTTGCCGTGTATGTCTCGACAGCAGGGCGCTTCGATGTGTGTGCCGTTGGCAGTTCCGTTCCCATTCGCCTGGGACGGCGTCTTTGCCAGGCTCTTGCCATTGGCATGCACCTGGCCATTGCTGACGGCCGGCGATATGTGTCCGTTACTGGGCAGGATGCGACCATTCACCTGCTTCTGTGTCACGTTCAGCGGCTCGTTCTCTGCCATGGCTGCTGCTTCTCTTCCTGAGTGCTGACTGCAAATATGTTCAAGTGGGTGGATAAGTGTTCGAGTGAGTGTCAAGTATGCTGGGCGTAAATGTGCATCTTAATGCCATTGCATTGCACGCAAATATGCTGTTGACAGACAACTGCCGAAATGCTGTCGCCGCCCCCATTTACTGGAAAATTATCACAGACTGAGCGAATTGGCTAGCCAAATATTTGTACACTTTTATCTGTGTTTGCCACTCCCGCACATGGAAATACAATGTACGTTGCCAACACTCCAGAATCCAACTAAATGAGCCAGACAGCCAGACAAAGGAAGTAGTAGAAAGAAAGTATATATCGTATAAAGATATAAAGATAGGTAGCGAAATAGGCATTTAAATCTATCAAAGATATAATTATGGATCATCTGGGAAACTGCAAACTGAGGAAGGAACTGAGGAAAATGAAGCTACCAAGGATACGTACATCCTCTCATTATGTGCTCGAAATAAAAATCCTAAAATATTATTTGAATAAACCAGAATCAAGCATCAAAAAGTTATATCAAATTTCAGAATATTTAAAATAGTTTTATTTATAATTAATAATTTCTATTTGTAATTATTAATTTATTTATTTAGGTGGGTTCTACGCGTTTTCGAGTGTACAAAAATAATCTTGATTTTACATGGTCTGTTTCCCCTTTCGCGCCTTATATCTGGACAGCATTATATCACATTCTTTGGGTTGAACGAAATTTAGATTGCATTACATGCGATAACAGAATTACTGAATTTGTCGCATTCCAAAAGATATATAATATATGTATACTCGTACATATGTACTATGTAAATATGCATATGCATGCCCTTGCTTAGAGCACGGCGTTTACGTTTCTTGCCCCTCCCACGGCGGGGCAGACAGACAGCGGCAGCCGAAAAAAAAGATTTCGCCGACAAGCGAAAATTCAATGTAATGCGAACTGCTACACAGAATAAAAACCAAACCACATTTGTGCTCGACTATCAAAGAAATTCGTACTATCGTGCACGTGTCTGCTTGAATATGCGACGCACCGGCGGGCCGGCAACCCAAAGGGTGGGGTGGGGAGGGGTCACAACCGAAATCGAAGGTCACGTCACTGGCTGCCATTATGCAACTGCCAGGGAAAAAGTGCGACAGGACGACAAATGCTGCGAAGGCGTCTTTACGTACATTTAAGCCCGGATTAACTCCGAACGTAAGATCCGCTTCAAGACTCCGGGGCGAAGACACTAAGGGAATCGCGCACTCAAACCGCCTGCCACTGGCCGAAGTGGTGTCGTGTCGTCGAGACAAAGACAGAGACGGAGACACAGACGGAGGCACAGACGGAGACTAATCGAGCGAGCACAGCACACAACCGACCGCTTGCGTTGTCGGCAGCGGAATGAAGAAAAATTGAATTATTTTCCACGAGCTAGTTGCAAAAATGTTCCGATACTTCGGCGTTCTCTGGCGTAAACAAATTTCACCTAGGCAACGACGAAGATGGGCACAAAAACAAACGAGGCGCTAAAAGCTTCACCAGTTCCCAGCTCCCATCAGCTCTGGGTCTGAGCGATGGATAGAATGTCGGGTGTATAGTTTTGGGCTGGCCCAGAAGCCCCCAGAGGCCATCTCCAGTGGCAGACAAAAGACAAATCACATGATCGACAGACCGGTGTCTATTCAATTTGGACGCAACGGAATCGAAAAAGGCCTCTAATTGATCAATTCCCAGAATTAGAAACTGAAGCATCTCGGGTGGACCAGAGGCCACTGCGCAGTGCCATCAATTGGGAGGTGACGTTGACTTCGACAACTCTAAAGTGAGCATATCCGTTGCCGTCAAAGAAAACCCGGCGTCCGATGCCGCCTCTTCACAGGCGCTCAACAAGTTGACCCCAACTGACTCATCCGGCGAATTGTTCTGTCGCTCCCTCCTTTCGCCCGTGGCACTGGCGCCGGCGCCGACGCTGAAGCTGGATCAAAAGCCCGTAGTACAGTGGCTTCGGGTTCGAGTATTTGAATATATTTTGACTGGACTCCCGGCTGGGAGCAAAGGCCGCATGTATTAGACACAACACAGAATAGAATATAAAACTTACGTGTTAGTGGAAGAAGATTTGTTTCAATTAATTTATAATAATACTAACTACTGATGGCTCAACGGTTTCACATGATCTCTGGAACGGCATCAAGGGACATGGCTGTGACTGAAGCTGTGGCTGTGGTTATGGGCAGCGTCGACTCCGGCTGGTCCAGAATCAGCCTTAGGTTTTTGTCCGGCCAGTCAAACTGCAGGCGTTGGCTCAGCTCGGTGTTCTCGTCCAGATTTGCATTGCGGAAGTCCTCCATCATGCGCGGCACGAGGTCATTTGGTATAAGCACCTGAATCCAATAGCCCAAGACGCCGTATGGCTCATGGACGTTGACAGCGGCACCGGTCACCGTCTCAGCCACCAGAGTCAAGGCCAGATGCTGAGCCTTGAAGGTGAAGTGACGGCCGTGGCGTATGCGGTCCTTGATGGCCAGCAGCAAGTACTTGGCCACAGTTGGGGCCAAGGTTATTTCGATGCCATCCAGTGAAATGCAGTCCGGTGCCTGGGGCTGAAAGTCAAGGGGACAGGACTTGTGCAGGGAATTGCTGCTGAGCGACATCGATTGGGGAAAGCTCGGCTCCTCACGCTTCATTTGCGACTCCGTCATCGGTCGATTGTTCTCCTCGGTGGCACACCGTTCGCTCAGGGACTGGAAATCGACTTCCTGCTTGATGGTCGGCTTCATTTCCTTAAAAGTGAAATCTGCATTAACACCCGCCAAGTCGGAGCCTTGCTTCTCGAGGTCGTCTTGCAGATTGATCAACGTCTCGGGGAACAGCTCGAACACACTCATCGTTCGGTCCATGTTTGTGACCAGCCACTCGCCGCCAGTCTGGATATCCTCGCGCAGGAAGTTCAAAACACCGCGCCCGTTCCAGCGCGAAGCTTGCTCCAGCTCATGCTCGAAGACGCCAACAATCTGACAAAAGTCCACGGTGCCAAACGGTGTCTCGATGCAGCCCAGCTGAGGATCCTGTGCGACTAGCAGACTTTGCAGCATGGAGTTCTCGCTGCCATCCAGACTCTTGCGCCAGGGAATGTTGTCGCCAAAGCACAAGCCGTTGCCAGTTTGGAAACAGTACCGGCCAATGGCCTGCAGCAGATTGGCTGGCCATGTGGGTGGCCGAAGAGGCTTCTCCGGGCTATCCTGTTCCTGCTGCAGCTCAGCCTCGGTCTTTGCCAGCCGGAACGTCAGCTCGAATCCCATGCCAGACCGATGCGACTGCTCCTCCTGCAGATGGACACGCTCGTCGCCGTGCAGGTCGCTGAGACCAAAGCTGATGTAGTGCCAATGCGGAGGAACATTCTTCTCGGCATCTCCTTTGTTGTTGTACATGCTGATGTAGTCCAGCGGATCCTGGCCTCCCAGCCAGTACTTCAGCAGCGTGGTCACCTGCAGGGGGTTCGGCTGGTCGGGATACACCTGCAAGAGGTGATCTATGATGGCCTTCAGCCCAGGAGGCGGCTTCACATCCGGTTTTTTATCTAAATTTGACGCAGACATTGCATTAAAAAAATGAAAACAACAATACTAGAGATGGGTAAAAAGGATCGCTCCAGTGAATAGGTCACTGGGAAGGGAACAAATATCCAGGTGTCACAGTTAGTTACAGTGTAGCTACCGTGTAGTTACCATGTAAAAAATAAAAATTGTTGTTGAGTTTTTTTGATTAACCCTTATTTTATAAGTAATCCAACAAATGGGAGTCTTTAAAATAAACCAGATTGTAGAAAATTAATTCATCTATCGGATAAAATTATACTTTTAGTTGTTCAATTCCTAACTAGCTAGTTATATTAAATCGAATATCAAAATTGATGAATATGATTTTCCTCGGAATATTTATGGTATATTTTGAAAATGCCAAGGTATATTTCGGATGGGCAGGCAGTATATTTGATCGATAGGTCGCATCGGACTATCGGTTTTTACTGTCACAACGGTCACACTAAACGCTATTTATTAAAAAAATTTGCAAATTTAAAAAAACGCAAAACGCACAAAATGGAGCCTTATGATGTCGTTGTAAACCAGCCCGTCGTCATAGATAACGTAAGTGGAAAGTAGCACATAGATCGTTGTCCCTAGGGCTCCGTACTTCAAGTTTCCTGCGATTTACAAACCAGTGACATCACCTACCTACTGCCCGTCCCTTTGTCAGTAAGCTTTTTCAAGCCGTATTCAGGTGGTGGCAACCATGACTAATGCAGGAACATATTTGGACAACCACACTTAATTTGCTTTTATTTGAACATTTATAATTTTGTATACATCTCCGTCATTATCCTTTGATGCCACCGTGCATGCGTGTGTTTTCGCAAGTTTGTGTGTATGTGTCGGCTGCTTCATCGTAAGAAGAACGTGTCATGATATCTGCTGTTGCGCTCCACCATTTGGAAGCCCCTGCCCAAAGTCGAATGCCTGCCATATTCCATGGGAAACACCAGCGGCTTACTCTCCTGATGCCATGACATGGGCATGCTCAGCAAATCCGGTTTGACGGGGCGTCTTCCCGTGCGTACAAAACTCTGCGGACGTAGCAGTTTGTCATAGGGGTCCCGGTAATAATCCCTGTGTTTCTGGCACTCCATGTAGAATGAGTCCACGCCGTACAGATCCTGGTAGTTGACAAACGACAGTTTGGGAAGTTTGGGAGCAAAAGCAAACAGCGATTCGCGTGTTTTCCGGCAACTTTTCGACACATTCCACATCTCTACTTCGGGAACTCGGGAGGACATGGCGATTTCAAAAATAAATAAATAAAGAAAACTTGAAATTTGTAGTTGACTGTAAACGTTTGAGTTTAGAACTGACTAAATTTAATATACACATATCTTTTTCCAGGGCTCCGGTGTTATCAAAGCCGGCTTTGCTGGTGAGCACATTCCAAAATGCAGGTTTCCCAATTAGTAAGTAGAAAAGTCTGAATGGTAAAAAGGAAAAATCTGATTGATTGTGTGTCTTCCGTAGCATTGGCAGACCCAAGCATATTCGGGTAATGGCTGGTGCCCTGGAGGGCGACATATTTGTTGGTCCGAAGGCGGAGGAGCATCGCGGTCTGCTCAGCATACGGTATCCCATGGAGCACGGCATTGTGACGGACTGGAACGATATGGAGCGAATATGGAGTTACATTTATAGCAAAGTAAGATCCATTAGAGTTAGTCGGTTTAGCGTATCAAGCTGAGCTTCACATCCATTCGCATTTAGGAACAACTAGCCACCTTCACGGAAGATCATCCGGTACTGCTCACAGAGGCTCCACTAAATCCACGCCGCAATCGTGAAAAGACTGCCGAATTCTTCTTTGAAAGCATCAATGCACCTGCGCTGTTTGTGTCAATGCAGGCAGTCCTCAGTCTGTATGCCACTGGAAGGGTAACTGGCGTGGTGCTGGACTCAGGTGACGGTGTGACGCATGCGGTTCCCATCTACGAGGGATTCGCCATGCCTCACAGTATTATGCGTGTGGACATTGCCGGTCGCGATGTGACGCGGTACCTGAAGACACTCTTACGCCGGGAGGGCTTCAACTTTCGGTCAACCGCCGAGTTTGAGATTGTGCGCTCGATCAAGGAGAAGGTCTGCTACTTGGCCACCAATCCCCAGAAGGAAGAAACTGTGGAGACGGAAAAGTTTGCATACAAACTACCCGACGGCAAGACTTTCGAGATCGGACCGGCACGTTTCCGGGCCCCGGAGGTGCTCTTCCGCCCGGACCTGCTGGGCGAAGAGTGCGAGGGCATACACGACGTTCTAATGTACTCCATTGAAAAGTCGGATATGGATCTCAGGAAAATGCTCTACCAGAACATTGTCCTCTCGGGTGGCTCAACTCTGTTCAAGGGATTCGGCGATCGGCTACTATCCGAGCTGAGAAAGCATTCAGCCAAGGATCTTAAGATCAGGGTAACTATATCCAACTGGCATGCTACTTGTCTGGTATTCACACCTCTTTTGTTCCTCAGATTGCCGCGCCACAAGAGCGACTGTACTCCACATGGATGGGCGGCTCGATTCTGGCATCGCTTGACACCTTCAAGAAAATGTGGATATCGAAGCGGGAATACGAGGAAGAGGGCCACCGGGCCGTGCATAGAAAGACTTTTTAGCGTGTTTATTGACTTAAACGCAGTGTGTGAAAGGCTTTTTAAAATCTATATCAAACATCAAGTAAACGTAACCCGTACACCATACCCCCCCAGAGATTCGAAGCAAATTGTGTGTGTGTATTTATGTCTTACGCATAACAGGGCGCAAAGTATTTAAAATGCTATTTATTGAAACTGCTTCTCAGCCTAGAAAATAAAGTACTAAAATTTATTAAAAAAAAAAAAAACTCCTCCAGCTGTACCCGATTACCGATTGGACCGACAGATCGCTGGATAGCGGCTGACTAAAAATAAATCAATAAATCCCATTTTACCGCACTGAGCTCCTGCAATTAGTCATGTCCCCGAGCTCCAAGCCAAGTCGAGGCGGAAACGCTCTCTCTCTACCGCGGGCGCAGAGAGCTCGCGTGCTCCAGTGGCAACGGGCACTCTCTTAGCTGGGAATCATTTCAGTTGGCTTTCAGTTGTTTAATCGTTTGGTTGTGTCGCCAGCCGTCGCCACGACAACGACGCTTCAGGTTTCCACGATTGTGTTGCCAATTAAAGAAGACAATGAAACCCGCCCGAACAGCTTGAATTGGATATTTTGAGCTTTATTTTGGATGTGGTTGCAAGCGAATCAAAAGTGCAACGTTGTGTGACCGAAGTACGAAAAGCAAATTGAAAGCGAAAACAAATATAAGTCAAAATGGCTCAGGTTGTGGCTGGGCATGAAACTGAGGTAAGTCTACAAATATTCCTGACTATTACGCATAAAACTAACTCACACACTGCTGCCCTTGATCTTCCACATATTCCTGTTCATAAATAATTTATTAATTTGTGTGAGCCGCTGCCGCACTACCAGCACATCCCATCTCCATTGGTATCCCCCTGCCCAGTAATTGTCATTCCATTCTGCTGTTGCTGTTGCTGCTGTTGTTGTTGTCTTTGTTCTGACTGTTGCCATTCGTGCTGCAATTAAATATGATATGTACGCAACTCGTTTGCCTCATGCACCTTAAACTCTAAACTGACTGACTGACGAGCCGTGCGAAAAACTTTTCAAACTTCCGTCTGCTGTTTGTTCCCATATTGATTTTCTTATTTAAACACCAATGACAATTATAGATGCTATCCTTACCATCATTTGTATGTTATTTGTAGTATAGTGTACGCCTTTTTCTATTGCAGCAACCCGTTAAGAATGCATGGCAGGTAATTCAGAATTAACTTTTGAGTTTCAACTAAATCATCCTTGCTCCCAATGTTGTTCCCCCTTTGGTTAATTATATTGAGTAGATGATGTTCTGTGTTATCAGCGCACAAGACTCGCACAGATAACGTCTAACTATTGAATCGATCTACCAGAATCAGTCGTCACTCTTAACTCAGCACTTGGTCTGACAAAATGGTATCGTTCTTCGACAATGTATCTATCGTTCATGTTCCACATTTTAAGTAATTTATACATATATGTACTTGCTGATCTAATGATAGTAAACTTTCCATTATTATTTCAGATGAAAGCCATGGATGCCAATCGGTATGCGACAAAGAAGACGATCGCCCAGGGCATGCTGGATATAGCACTGCTAACTGCCAATGCCTCCCAGTTGAAGTACATCCTGCAGGTGGGGGAACAGCATCAGTTTTACAAGCTGATGCTGATACTGATCAGTCTGTCGATCGTGATGCAGGTGAGTTTTGCCTATCCTGCTTGGCATGGGGTAGTAACGGCCTCGTTCTTCACATGTCCCCAGATACTGTCGGGTGTGCTAAGCCTGTCGCTGAGTTTGTTGCGCGACTGCCGACTCCACCAGCCAGAGTTTCACCAATCGGCTAATGTTATCAATCACGTTCGCACTGCATTCGCGTTTTTCACAACGATGCTAAATCTCTTTATCTCGGCCTTCGATAGTCGTCTGCCCCCGCCACAAGGCGACCTTCTGAATAACGTGAATTAGTGTGGGGGGGCCCCATAAAGATCCTTAGATTCGTTTGCTTGATTTTAACAAATCTCAATATCCATTTTGACAGCTTTTGGTTGGAATTCTGTTTGTGGCCATCGGCGGTCTCAACATTAACCGGCAGAAAGATCAGACGGCGGCGATCATCTTGAACGATATCATCTTGGTGGTGATATTCGTGATATCCGTTCTGAATGTAATCATTTCTGGGTTTGGCATTGAGTACTCGTCACAGCCGCTCAGACTCCTCGATCCGCATGCAAAGACACCCTAGAACTAAGAAATATCCAACGATTTACATTCCTGTAACATTATCATAAGGCTAACTAACCATGTACTCTGTAAGATTTATAAGAAAATAAATAAATGTATGGACAGATTTGAATATATGAAACTTCTTTACCTTCTCATGCAGGTGGCAGCTGGGATTTTGCTAGTCATTCAATCGCTTATCAGCATTCACAATGCAAAGGATCGTTCCATTGGGTACACCATCAATTATTTCGTAGATGCCTTTATATTCTTCTCCGTGTTCTGTGACGTTATGAAGATGAATTTCGGACTAGACCCGGCAATACCCCTCCTACAAAGCAAAGACGATGTCGAGGTTTTTAAACCTTAATAATTTCATATCTGCGTAGGCTAAGGTTTCAAATTTAAACGCTTGCCACTTTACAAAAAACTAAATCTTGCATTGTTAAATTTCAAATTTTTGGAATTTCGTATATTTTATAGATCAAGCTTTATCGTGATATTAAGCATTCTTTATAGAACTTTAAAAGCGACTTATTTTATTTTGGCGACTCTCCCGATGTCGCGCCTTGAATCTGGAGATGGGTGAGCATAAGAAATTGTTGCATCACTATTTTACACGCCGGGGGTGAAACCGTTATATCGGTTAAAAAATTGTACTTCTCGCTATACATTTAACGTCAAATAGGAGTTAAAGTTATATTTACGGTATGTGCAAAGTGTGTAGTAATCTGATTAATCTATCTGGTCAGTGCTGAGGGTGCTAGCTAGCTAGAAATATTAAACGGAATATCAAAATCGAGGAATATCAACGTTAAATGTTTTGAAAAAAACTATCGATACTATCGTAATAGTATCGGGCTCAAATAATTATTAAAAAACCATTGAAACCTATAAGGAACTTGTCCATTGTAAAAATTAGATGCCACCTGTCGATTTTTTTTAGAAATTTGTCTTCGTATTTTATAGCTCGATACTATCATGATAGTCTCAAAACCATCGATAGTAGAGGCTATCAGGCAAATATCGATACTATCGATAGTGCCCTCTTTGGTTTGACACCTCTAGTTTACACATTAAGTCCAAAAATAATACGTACGCGCCCGTGAATCATAGCCGCCAGCAGCAGCCAGGCCAGCCAGCCCCTCGTCCAGCGTACAGAAATATAGTGTACATACAGATATATAAAAAGTTATTCGCGTAAATATTACACGTACGCTCGTCGTGGCCCACCCCTGGATCCCAACTGTGCGCGAGACGAGACCAGACCCGCATCCGCATATTGTTTTAGTTTAGTAATTGTTATTTCTGTGTAAAATGTTCAGTTTTCTGAAGCGCGAGCAGAAAAACCAGGAGGTGGTGGAGAATGTGATTGGTGAGCTGAAAAAGATCTACAGGAGCAAGCTGCTGCCCCTGGAGGAGCACTACCAGTTCCATGACTTTCACTCGCCCAAGCTGGAGGACCCGGACTTCGATGCCAAGCCCATGATACTGCTGGTGGGGCAGTATTCCACGGGCAAGACGACCTTCATTCGATACCTGCTGGAGCGAGACTTTCCCGGCATTCGGATTGGTCCGGAGCCCACAACAGATCGGTTTATTGCCGTGATGTATGATGACAAGGAGGGCGTCATACCCGGCAATGCTCTGGTGGTGGACCCCAAGAAACAGTTCCGTCCATTGTCCAAGTACGGTAACGCGTTCCTCAATCGCTTGCAGTGCTCCAGCGTGGCCTCGCCGGTGCTGAACGCCATCTCCATTGTGGACACGCCCGGCATCTTGTCCGGCGAGAAGCAGCGCATCGATCGTGGCTACGACTTCACAGGGGTGCTGGAGTGGTTCGCGGAGCGCGTCGATCGGATCATCCTGCTGTTCGATGCCCACAAGCTGGACATCTCCGACGAGTTCCGGCGCTCGATCGAGGCCCTCAAGGGACACGACGACAAGATTCGCATCATCCTCAACAAGGCGGACATGATCGATCACCAGCAGCTCATGCGCGTCTATGGTGCGCTCATGTGGTCCCTGGGCAAGGTGCTGCAGACGCCGGAGGTGGCCCGCGTCTACATTGGCTCGTTCTGGGACCAGCCGCTGCGGTTCGATGCAAACCGACGGCTGTTCGAGGACGAGGAACAGGATCTCTTCCGCGACCTGCAATCCCTGCCCCGCAATGCCGCCCTGCGCAAGCTGAACGATCTGATCAAGAGGGCGCGCCTGGCCAAGGTGCACGCCTTCATTATCGCTGAACTGCGCAAGGACATGCCCTCGGTGTTTGGCAAGGACAGCAAGAAGAAGGATCTGATCAAGAACCTGGGCCAGGTCTACGATCGCATTCAGCGCGAGCATTCGATATCGCCCGGCGACTTTCCGGACATTAAGAAAATGCAGGATGTCCTGCAGCATCAGGACTTTACCAAGTTCCATTCGCTCAAGCCCCATCTTCTGGACATTGTCGACAACATGCTGGCCAAGGACATAGCGCGACTCATGGAAATGATACCCCAGGAGGAGATGACGCTCGTCAACGAGCCCATCGTTAAGGGTAAGTCATCCAAGTCATCCATTCCCGGTTCCCGATTTCCGATAATTTGCCAGTGCGAGCAAAGTGCACAGCTCATTTAGCCTCCACGTTATCACATTCGTCACGCTGTAATTATCGCACTCTCTGGTGGGTCCCCTCCCCTCCCATTCCCAGTGATATATGTGTGGATATACTCATATGTTTAATAGAAAATATTTATGTAAATGTCGTGAGATTTTCCAAGAGAATTTCACTGGTGTTTTTCCTTTCCCAGAGGCAACAGATTGCGCGTGCGCGAATGTTGCAGACAGAAAGAAATACCCAAGTTAACCCAGTTAGCAAATAGTATGCCAAATTGCAATGAAAAACAAGTTTTGTTGGCACAGTCAGAGAGAGAAATACATAGATACTTTAGAGAGTGAGAGAAAAACATTGAGAGTTGGAGGCTGTATCTGTTGGAGCTGTACAACTGTCGAGGAAAGCCTAGCCAAAAATGGGCATTTGAAGACTCACTTTCATGGTTCATCTTCCGAGAGTTTTCCCTGGCCCACATCCACATCCACATCGCAGCTTCCTATTTCTGTTTTGCGCGGTTATGCAATGCCCTAGCATACGCGTCTCTATATATAATTTTTATATTCATATACGAATAAATGTCTGTGTGTCTGCTATATAAACAAAGCGATAAGCGCTGCCCCACAAAACTGATAAGCAGCATAGACTCGACTCGGGGTGCTTGCTTCGCGTTTAGGTGACATTCACGCACTTTTTTCCAGTGCAAAATCCCCCTGCAGCGCTTCCCCACTGCCACCCCCAAATTCAGTTGGCAGCAAAAAGTGCACATAGACACGTACTATGGCCCACATCATATCTTGCTTAAATATTGTAAAGTGATAAGCAATTACTTGGTGACTTGAAACTAGGCGAGTACTCACTCCATGGGGCGTGGCAGTCGTGGCACGAGTATGTCAAAATAATTATCAAAGCAGTCTGCGCTTTCGTCATTTCCTTTCCCCTTTATGCCTTGTACCTTATATTGATAACAGAGCCAACCTACTACTACTGGCTGCCACATGATGTAAGCATTGGAAAATATCGATGGAGAATGCTCTCTCTCTGTGTTAGCGGCAAGGTTGTTGTTGTTGTGTGCTGGTTGTTGGTTCTAATTGGGTGTCCGGACTCGGGCATGACTCATCCGAAAACTAGGCGTACAGTTTGAGCATGATAAATATTTTACACTTGGTTGAATCACATCTGATGGCAGCAGCAGCAGCACCACCACCACCAGCACACAAACGCATCCAGGCAACCATGACGTCTATATGACCACGCATTCCCCCATTACCCATTCCCATTCGGAATGAAACTCGAACTAAAACGCCCAGCAAAAGCACAAACGAATCAACAAATGAAGGAGAGGGAATAAAGTTTTAATCAGAAACTAGACGACGCCTTGGCCTGCGTACTTCAGAGGCGTCTATAATTCTATTATATTCATACACATGAGCAGTCTACTATTCCACTGAAAGGTAATTCCATTTAAAGTAAGCGAACTGGCGAGCGACCGGTTTACTTTCGACCTGTGAACTTTTGCGTGTGTGGCGGCGGGCAGCCAACAGTTCCAACAGTTCAGGCGTAGAGTTCAAGGCCTAATTACACTTTCCCAGCTGGCGGGGAGCACCTGTTTGTGTTCTCCCCATGAATGCGTTAGTGAGGCCAGTAGGCCAGTCGGAAAGTGGTTTGTTTTTCAAACCTTATCGCGTTGCCAGGCACTGTTATATATACATTTGTATATAATGTAGACACAACAGTATAAACAGTCTTCTGTTAGATAAAAATCAATGTAAGGCCAAGTCAGTGGTGCCATCATCGGCTTTTTGCTTATCAGTTGCCGGGTTCTAGCAACCTTAAAAAAACGAAACTGAAAAAAAAACCTGTGCAGCCGTCGGGACGACTGCTCTAATTTTCGTTTATCTGTTAAGTAAATACGTGTGTGCCATACAATTAAGTAATATTTATGACACAGTGGCCACTCACACAAGTGGAAACTTGTGGAATATTCTGTGAATTTCGTAGCAGATTTGATCCGAAAATAAAACCACAAATTATTAGGCTACCTCAATGTTTCCTTGACTACTTTTGATAGGCAGCTAAAAAGGTCCCCCCATCCACAGAAGGGAGCACAGTAAATAATTAATTGCTAAAAAGGCAAAGCAATTAAAGTGGAAAAAAATTATTATATTGAATGGAAATATGGCCTGCCTTTTGGGAGATGATAGGGTTTTATACAAATGATTGTCTGCTGCATAAGCTCCATGCGTCAAGCTGCTCAAATAAAAGCCCCAGTCCCCAGATCGAGGCAGCAGATCCACACCCAGACCCGCTCCCAGTTTTAGCTCCCGGTAAGCCGAACCGGTTACTGCCAGTTATGTATGTACATATGAAATGTACTTTTGATGGCGTTGGCAACCTGAGGCCGCGTATCAATTGGCCACTACTCACCGTAGCTGACTTGGGGCGTGTGGCATTAAGTGGATCATCCTCTGGTCTAATCCACAAAGAGAAAAATATAGAAAGAAAGAAACTGAGACGGGGGCGCTTGCATAGCAAACGAACCACAACTAAGTGCAGGAAGAAAGCATTTACCCGAGAGTTATTCCACAATAATATGGCCATTGTCTGTGGCGAAACTTATCTGCAACTGTGTCTCTGGCTGTGTGTGTGGTTTGTGGGGCTGCTGATCTTTTTAGTTTGGCTGTGGCTCTGAGGCTGTGTCTGTGGCTGGGGGCCACTTGAGTGGCAATTTAATTCAACTATTAGCGCATTTCTCATGACCTTGGACGTGTGGAACTGTGGAATCTATGCAAATACCAAAAGAAAGTCCAAAAATGATCAACTGATGTCATGGGATAATTATTTCTGATTTCTGACCGAATGTGAATGTGTCATCGAAATTAGTTAATGTTGCTCCCCGCACACACACACAAACACACACACATACACACACTCGCACTCAGTGTCAGATTCACATTCATTGGCACTCGAGTGAATGAACTCCTTGTTTATTATTACACCCAGAGAAGAGGAGAAGGCGCCGCGCCGCGCAGCGTCAAGACAATGACCAAACCAAACCCCTCCCTCCAAAAGGGAACGAGAATGCGTTGATAAAGCGAATCACGATCAAACAGCACGAAATCAAAGTCAAGAACGCGTGAACTCTAATTTATTTCTAAATAAATGTCTTCGTACGTACAGAGACTCACATATCTGTGTGTACTCTCCCTCTCTCCCTCTCGCTCCTTCGCTCAGTAGTTTAATGTTTTGTTCGATTTTCTGTGCATTTCCGTTGCTTTGTTTTTGGGATAATTGACGCGGACACAAGTATTTCAATTACACAGCCAAACAAGAAAGAGAAAAGTAAGCGATAAAAACGTAAAAGAGACAGTGTACGCTGATAGTTTTTGTCCCACACATAATCATTCATTTAGAAAACTGATCCTAGAACTAATGTGGATCAGGGGTTCGTCTTTCATTTGAGTCATCCAACCCAACCGGCACCTGCTCATGAGGTTAAGGGGGGTGGGGCATCACATGTTTAGCAATATGTCGCTAAATAGTTTATACACACACAAACACACACCCATACAGCCACACGATCTTGCAGAAATAAGCTGTTCGCTTGCTTCGTTCCTTTATCTTCGTTTTCGCCATTGGCACACTAATTTTTGTTGGTTTTTGAGTTTTTGGTGTTTTTTTTTTGCCATGTCCGCGTCGATTATTGTATACGCCCTGCTTTGTCACCCACTGTTGCCGCACCGGGGAGATCATTGGGGAGATCTTCCATTGTGAATCCCTTTGAAAATGTTCCCTGCTCTGTCAACGTTCTTTCTCGTTCTCTTTCTTGCATACCAAAGTGGACTCAGACGAGGATTTCGATCTGGCTGACGAGCCGGATAATATCCTGAGCCCCAGCTCACAGAGAGCACTATTTGCGGATCGCTTTGATCGCTGGCTGCAGAACCTGCGCCAGCAACAGCACCGGTTGTTCAGCAGTTGTACTAGTAGGGTGGGCCATGTCGAGAACGATAAAGAGATCGAGCCAGCAGCCGAGCCAGAAACAGAGCCACAGGCAGAGACAGAGCCAGAGAAGGAGCCAAATGCAGACCCTGAGGCAGGTTCAGAGCAGGAGGCAAAATCTGAGCCTGAGCCAGAGACAGATCCAGATCCAGAGACAAAGGCAGAGGAGAGGCAGAGGCAGGGACAGACATGGATGTAAGCACACACCTAGTTGTATGTAGATCTCAAAGGCAGAGTGGCCTTCTCAATTCTCAATTCTAGTGTCTGACAACAAGACGCCGCAAATAAATTGAGCAAAAGATCAAAAGTGGCAACTTCAAATAATGCAATGAAATTCCACTTGGCCGCATGCACCGTATGCACCGCATGCAACAATCTCAATTGGTCGCCTGAATGCAGCCATTCAGGGGCAATTGTTTGCCATTTTCCGTTCGCTGTTTGCTGTTTGCTGTTAATGTAGGTAGGCAAAGTACGTTCTTAAGTCGGTCAGTCAGAAGACCTCAATTGGAGCCAAAACGATCTGAAGGTTTTAATTGCTTCAAATTGAATGTGTACGAAGTACTGCGACTATGTGCACGGCGACGCACCGATCTGCTTAGACTACTTGCTTAATTAGTGCAAATTTATGTGGAGACAAGCCCCAATCCCCCAAGCCCCCAGGCTTAGATTGAACAAGACTGAACCGAACTAAACTAAACATTACTTTGGATTACAGGTGGTGCCTTCGAGGGTGTCATCGACGACCACGTCTCGCCATTCGGCTACATGAAGGGCGAGGGCATTGATGCCGGCTGCGGAGAGCACGAATGGATTTGCAACAAGGATAAACCACGCACAGACACCATCTTCGAAGGCCTGAGCCCGGTCGATGGCAAAATATCCGGTGCCAGTAAGTAGACGACGCGAGATGCGAGCGCCATCGAAGGCAATTCCTAATCAATATCCCTTGTTCAATTACAGCTGCCAAGCAGGAGCTAATCAAATCGAAACTGCCCAACTCGGTGCTTAGTAAAATCTGGAAACTGTCCGATGTCGATGGGGATGGCTTCCTGGACGCTGAGGAATTTGCGCTGGCTTTGCACTTAATCAATGTCAAGCTGGAAGGCTGTGAGCTACCCACAGTATTGCCGGAACACTTAGTACCACCGTCGAAGCGCTATGCCTAAATACATACCCAATAATATACAAAACACACACAAATCAATCGAAGACGTCGGCCAGCTGGCCAACTCCCACGATGCACCATGTTCGATTCTGCCTTTTTATATGTACTATACTCGTACTCGCATAAAACTGCGCCAACTGCTGGGTATTAAAACACACACACACACACAAACACAAATGGCAATGCAAGCATTGCAATAGAAACAAATATATATATACATATACATATATATATCAATCATAATAGATTCACAGAATTTACACAATGCCCACATCACATGCATATTTTTGAACAATCGACTGTTATGTCATGCAATGTGGAATGTAACGAAAGGATCCGATCGGATCGGATCAGATCAGATCAATTTAGTGGATTTATAAAAGAGAAGTAAGTGTGTATATGGGGCCCCCATACCATGTCGTTCGTTGTTGACTTAAGGAAAATATAATGAAGTGAAGAAAATTATTCAATGCCAGCAAAGAAAAACGCATGAAGTTAACGTGTAAACAATATTTAGGTTAAATATCGATCGTGCAGCAGCTTGTAAGGTTTTCTAATTTTGCAACCGAACCACTTTGGATATACGTACATAAATGAACATAAATATTTTATATAGAAATATACAATTCTAGAATGTGGGCCAATCTTATTTGCAATCTTATTTATGTTTTGGAAATGCTCCCCCACTCATCTCCTCTCCACAAGGAATGATAAATGTTGTGCAATTAAAATATTGGTTTATTAAATTTAATTATTTAGTAAATTAAATCTATTTAATTTAGTAAATTCTTGAATATTATTAAATGTTAACTTAAAACTGATTGATAAATTGTAAAAAAAAAACCTTAAATAAAATGAACAATTTTTGATATGCTCGATATTATAATATTGCAGGACCTACATATGTACCTAAGTATGTACATATGTACAGATAAATATGTGTTATTCATCATCAACAATGTTGCCATGCAGTATAAGTATTCTCAGTACAACTTATAATCTAGTCGGATCGAATAGATAACATAATTATTTATGATTCTGCGATTTGGTTTTTCTCGTATCTTCCCAATTTTGGATGCCACATGTTTCTGGCCGATGTTAAATAAATAAATAACGTTTATTCTAACAATTTGATATTCTAAAACTAAAACTAAACTAAATCATTCTTGGCATTGGTCTTGATCTTTTCACTTATCATCGGCTAGCTATTAAATCGGAGTGAATAGGGACATATCGGCGAAGTACCTACTTTCGAAAGGCTTGGGTGCTTGTATCTAAAATCTTGAGGGCTCGATTTCTTAGTATATGCTACTAAATACTGTTTAGCTAGTGGTCACACTCAGAACGATTAAATTTGTTGGTAATCGATAGTTATAGTTTACAATCGGCGAACATTTTTTTTGACAAGATAAGCTTTTGCCTTTTGGGTTTTCATTTGAAATTTCTACGCTATACGCTAATAAAATTCTCTGTGATGGCCACCTACGAGGAAGTGAAGGATGCTCCAAATCAGCCAGACAAGTACCTGTTTGATGTGCGCAACAAGTCCGAGTTGGAGGAGACAGGCGTCTTGCCGGCCAGCATTAATATACCTCGTGAGTAGAGTTAGTCGAGAGATTAGTAGAGGGCTTAATGGCCACACCTTTTGGTTCACAGTGCCCGAGCTGGAGAGGGCCCTTAATTTGCCAGAGGAAGCATTCACCAAGACCTACGGCCGGAATAAGCCGGCGATTGATGCGGTCCTAATCTTTTCATGCAAGGCAGGCGGACGCGCTGCTCGAGCTAGCAATATAGCCCACACCCTGGGCTTTGTCAAGTAAGTTATAGCTTGCCCTCATCTATTCATGTAGTCTTAAATTTTTTTCAATTCAATTGCAGTGCCAAAGCATATGCCGGTTCGTGGACCGAATGGCAGGAGAAGGAAGGAGTTCAATAACCAAGCAGCACAAAAGATTATTTACAAATTCTAAAAATATATTAAAAAACCCTAAATAATCACAACCTTAGCAGCTATACCTGAATTTCATGCATTTCGCCCCAACTGCTACCCATTTTAACCTTGACTTTCAGCGGCACACTCAGCTTCCCCTTGCCAACGTTCCCCATGGTCAGACTCAGGAGTTTGCCAATCTTCTTGGCCTTGGCTTCGGGCACCTCGTAGACCAGCTCATCGTGAATGTGCAGAACCAATTTGATGGCGTTATCCTCGACACCGAGCTTCCCCCCATACCGGCAGATGTTCTTCTCCATATCCAGCATTGCTTTCTTGGCAATGTCCGCTGCAGAGCCTTGAATGGTCGTATTAATGGCCTGTCGTTCGGCCTGCTCTGGATGGGGTTAAACAGATAAGATATGTTACAATTTAACTGAACTCGGGCATCAATGGAATTGCCGACATACTTATTAGATTTTGTTCGCCACCTTTGATGTGGTTCAGATAACGCCTTCGACCCGTTATGGTCTCAACATAGCCCTCTGTTTTGGCGAACCTCACGACTTTATCCGTGTATGCTCTGATGGCTGGATAGGCCTGGTGGAACTGTTCACATGTCAATTGCGCCTCCGACTCGGTGCATTGGAGAGCATCGCTCAGGCTCCGCATGCCCATGCCATATACAATTCCATAGCAAATCTGCTTGGTGCCACTGCGCATTTGTTCGTTGACTTCCGACTCGGCTATTTTGTTCCAGTGGGCAGCAATGGCCGTAAACAGATCCTGCGGGGAGTTCATCACAGACACCAGAGCCTTGTCCTCCGACAAATGGGCCAATATGCGCATCTCCAGCTGACAGTAGTCTGCCGATAGCAGACAGCGCTTCTCGTCCATGCACTTGAACACTGATCGCGGCGAAATAAGAATCGATTCCGGTCCCATTCGAATGTCAAAGTCCTTGGCCACGTTCTGCAGATTTGGCTCACTCATGGATATTCGTCCCGTGGCTGTGTACGTTATGCTGTGGCCATGTATCCTATTCGCCTTGCAGCATTTGATCAGCGGTTGCATGCCCTTGTCTATTTGCATGCTCAGCTTGCGATGGCTCAGTATTAGCTCGGATATGGGTGAGCCCAGCTTCTCCAGAACCTGACGCGAAGTACCCACGCGACCGGTGGGCTTCTTGTGAATACCCAGCACGGTGGCAACGGCCTGCGTGGAGCCCAGATTGAAGTACGAGCCATTCACCGCATAGATCTTGCTCTCCAGCTTCTTCAAGGTTTCCATCATGTGCTTTACCAGCCTACTCATCCGCTGCTGCTTGGCCGGAAAGCCGACGCACTCCATTTTGCAGAGTACGAGTTGAATGGGCATTTCCACCTCTGCAAACACAACAAATTAAAGATAAAAGTAAGCACAGAAATTGCGTGGCACTCACCTCTGAAGATGGTTACCAGCTGACCGATTCTCTCCAGAGCCTCGATCTGCCCTTCGAGTATGTGCACGGTAACGCAGGCCTCTATGGATGCACGCAACTTGGGCAAGATGGCGCTGGCGCTATCGAGCCCATGGCTGCTGTATCCGCGTCCGCTGCCACAGAGATTGACCAGTGCTGTGCACTCGGGCGCGAACTGCTGGCACTAGAATAGGAAACATTAATGGCCGTACGCGAATATTGTGTGGCCGCCAGTTACCATGTTCTTAAAGCAGGTTGCCTTCTCTGGCTCCAGCAGCCAGTTGCCCACCTTGGGATCCTCCACCTTAGCTGCGATGTTGTGCAACTCGGGCACGCCATGCAGCAGCGCCTTCAGCTGTTCCTTTGCATCGTGCACTAGGAGGGTGAGTTCTGGGCGATTCATCAACTGGCAGAGCTGCTGCACCTTGAGGCTGGTTGGGGTTTCGCTGCCCTCCTCCTCCTGCATGCACATATAATAGACAACATTGTCGGCGAGGCAGAAGGACACGCCTGCTATGAAGCTGCCATCATCCACCTGGAAGAGCGCCGGTTTGCCGGCAGCTGCTTCACGCTGCTTCGCCGCAGCCAACTGATTGATCAGCAGGTTGGCTCCGATCAGTGGCTTTCCCTTTCCCGCCTGCGATTGAAGGCCCACACTGAATCCACAGCGGGGGGCAGCCTGCAGTTCGCCGAGAGCCAATTGGAACAGCTGTCGATTGGCGCAAATGTCGATTATTTCGACTCTGTCGAAACTCAGCGCCTTGTCATCCGTCGTGGAGTAGCTCAGTATGTGCGAAGCATTCAGCTGCTGGGGATGCTTCATCAAAGAGTTCCCAGACGACATGTCAGAAAGTTGAATGGAAGAGGCTTCCTTTGAGTCCATCCCAGCTCCATTGGAAATATCGGAGAGTACCGTGCCGGAGTCTATCGCAGGTATACGAGGCGTCATATTAGCTGAACTAAGCAATGACCCAGAGCCCTGCGTACTGCTTCCAGTGGATCTTGGCGATGATCTTGGACTTTGCAAGCGCTGCGTGCGCAGCTTCTGGTAGGAGCTCATGAACTTGGAGGTATGCGGTGTCGAGGGATGGCTATGGGTCTCTTCCTCCTCCTCCTCCCTGGGTTGCGAGCTGGGTATCTCATCCGCCTCCGTATTCGTAGTGCCAACAGTTTGCTTACTCTCAGCGGCGGTAAGAGCAGCAGTCACCCCTGTGCTCAGCAGAAACGAATCGTCGCCCATAAATATATCCTCCTCCATGGCGGATGCTTTTATAGATGGCTTTTCTGTTTGCGATACCATTTGAGGGTCATATTTCCTACTCAATCGTGGATCCCTGCTGCTTATTACAGCTCGCGTCTTTTCCAGCCACAGTGGGCGTCTCTGCAGGCGTATTCTTTGTGTGCTTGGTCTCCATCTTGTCTCGTCTTTGGTTTAACTTCATAACTGCAATCCGACGGTTCTCCTCAATTTGTTTTTTCTGTAACGCTTCGCGAAGAGCTTTACTTGTGCTGGGCATTGCCGCATCGAAGCTGGGAGAACAAATTCTATTTTCCTTTTCGGCAGTGACATCTACTGTATTCCCTCGTACCATCATCCGCGTATTTACTGATTGTTGGAGGTTCTTTTCCACGGGCTTCTCTGTTAATTTTTCGGGCATCTTACTCACTGGAGTATCTGCTGATCGACTGTCTATCTGTCGCTCGGGGTTCACAGCCGATTTGGGTGTTTGATTCTGTACTTTTTGGTGGGGCACACGACTCAAGTTTTCTTTCAGTGCTGTGGGACTCGCTCCCTTTGCGATGTTGTTAGTTTGGTGTTTATTCTTTGGAGTATTCAAATGAGAAGCGACAGGTACATTCACTGCCTTTTGCTCAATGATGTCTACTGTTTGCCGTCGTGTCATTATCGGAGTATTTACTGATCGGCTGTCTTTTTTTTGTACAGTCAGTTTGGGTGCTTGGCTCTGTGCTTTTTGGTGGGGCACACGTTTCAAGTTTTCTTTCAGTACCTCAGTTGAAACTCCCTTCGAGATGTTAGTTTTATGGGAGGCGGCTGGTGCCATTTCCTTTGGCTGAGCTACTGTGTTCCCTGACATTACCTTTGGAGAATTTACTGATTGCTTTTCTTCTGTCTTTGGATTGGGGTTCTCTGCCGGTTTTCGTGGCATGTTTTTAAGATCGTTTTGGGCCTCAGTAGGATTTACCTTTGTGATTTTCGGTGGCGTTACATTTCCTTCTTCTTCACCTGTCGATTTTCGTTTTGATTGCGGCATTTGCTCCGATTGCTCATCCTCCAACGACATGTGCAAATCGACCTGCATCCCGCTGACTGACTCTGCTGACTTGGCCAGTCCACCGCTCTCTGTTCGATTTTGTGACCACTTAATGCTGCCCACGCCCATCTCATGCTGGAGATGTTTTTGCGCCTGATCAATCAGTAGTTTGGCAGCCTCAGCCACGGTCATGCCCGCCTTGCCGGTGATGAAGAAATTCCTAACCAAATTCCGCTTGGCCGCCTCGTGGGCATTTTCGTGGTCGTGCTGCTTGGCCGAGTCAAAGCTGAGAGAGTTGTAGAGGACTTTCTCGAGGACCAGAACATCGGCACCAGCCAGCTCCACGACGCTGGTGAAGCCAGCATCGAAGATGGCACGAGCACGCTTCTGTGACAGGTCTGGCAGCCGCATCAGATCAATGAGATCCCTGTGTATGCCGAAGAACAGCCTGTCCTTGAACTGTGACACAATCAGGGCGATGGTGGACCACTGCAGCGAATTGCAAAAGGCCGTCACAATGCCAGCAAAGGTTGAGGAAATTTGCTGCAGTCCCTGAAGTACGCCGCGGTTGCACTTGAATTTGTGGGCCACCACATTGATGGGCGTCTCGTTAACCAGCTCTTGCAGGGCTAGAGCCGTGTAGAAGCTGAATGAATATGCAATTTGGTAAGTTCATTAGTTATCGACTGGGAATATCTACCCACCGCTTGTGTATCTGCATCTGCTTGTAGTCCAGCTTGCTTTGGCCTCGCATGGCCTTTATTAGAAAGGCCTCCTTGACGCCAACCAGCTCGCCCACTTTCTTCATCGATGGACTGAGCTTCTCCCACATGTCGAGGTACAGCAGCCAGTCGAGATCCTGCAGCTGGTAGCACACTGAATAGGGAGTCACCAGATACACAGCATGCAGGTCAGTCTCCAGCACAAAGCTGCGCCTTGATTTCTGCAGCTCTGCGAAGAGAATGAGGCCATCGCCGGGCGGCATGGAAGATGCCAAGCAGGCGGCACCCAGCCGAGTGGCCACATAGTTCGCTGTCGCAGCCTCCTCGTCCACTTGATGGCGAATGAACTCGTAGTCAATGAGAAAGTCCAGTGCTTCGGCAATGAACTGCGAGTCGCAGTCCTCGCCACTCTGCGGCTGCGGCTGCTGCTGCTGCTCTTCGGCCAACTTCGCCATTGCCTTTTCAGCACTCAGCAGAGTGCAGTTGACGAAGCTATCAATTTCCTGTCTGGTGCTGGCCACACCAGAAGAAATCACCTCGAGGAGCGCTCGCTTAAGGTGCGTCTGCAATTGGAAATTCGTTCATTTTCGTGGCTGCTCTTTCCCAATGACACACAATGATACATACGCTGTCATCCATTCCGAGGCAAGAGGAAATGGGCTGCAGTTGCGCCTGGACAAGTTCACGACCCACCCTTTGATTGGATTCAGTGCAAATCAGTATGGACTCGCCCAGCGTATCCTTTCCGGTGCGACCAGCTCTGCCGATCATCTGGCGATACGTGAGGGAACTCATCTGGTTCTTGCCAAAGAGGGGGGAGCGTATGATCACGCGACGCGCAGGCAGATTGACACCCGAACTTAGTGTGCTTGTGGCCACGAGTACCTTCAGGGCTCCAGCCTTGAAGCAGGCCTCGACAATGTCGCGCTCTTCTGTGGTAAGCCCGGCATGGTGGAAGGCGCAGGCATAGGTAACGGCCTTGCCCATGGTACTATCGAGTCCTGGAAGGGAAGGATTGATACATTTCAGGATTGCTCCAAATGAGGAAACGAAGAAACAAACCAACCTGTGGGAATATCCCGCAGCTGCTGCTTCACATCCTCAATGGCCTCTGGATTGAGATTAGATCGAAGGCGTCGGCTCAGTTCAGTGCCGGATTTGATGAGACCATGGATGGCTGTGGCCAGCTGCACCGCAAGGCTCTCGCACCAGTCCCTCGATGGGCAGAATACAACGACGGAACAGCCCTCGAGCAGCGTTTCGATGCACAGCTGGGCCACATGATCCGAATCGTTGCTCAGGCATGGCACCTCCGACTGCCGGGAGACATCGCGCAGAAATTCCAGCCGCTGGTCATAGATTTTGGTGCCCACTTTGATCATCTCCTGCAGCGCCACTGGGCGATAGTTTGTGATGTACAGCTCGGCATCCAGCCAACGGCGCAGCAGTTCCACATTCGCCAGGGTGGCCGACATGGTGATCACTTGGATCTGCAGGGCATTCTTGCGGGACATGTACAGAATCTTGGCCAGCAAGAGCTCCAGAATATAGCCGCGACCCTTTTCAGAGATGAGATGCACCTCGTCCACCACCACAGTGCCGATTACATCCAACTTTCCCTGCTCCAGCAGCTTGTTGACTATGGAATTGGCCTTTTCTATGGTGCAAATGGCGACGTGGATGCTGTCGAAGCCACCGGGTGGTGTGTAGCCCCCAAAGAAGCCTTCCACCCTGTAGCCAGCGGGCGTCAGCAGATCCTGCAGATAGAATGTCTTCTCGCGCACCACCGAGATGAAGGGCAGGATGAGGAGCACCTTCTTGCCGCGCTCCAGGACCGTTTTCAGGAGTAGTATCTCACTAACAAGCGTCTTGCCCTGCCGATGTGGGCGCCGAGTAGACCAGATTGCAGTGCTCAAAGACAACGCGAGGCTTGCTCAGGCACTCGGCCTGCCAGTCGAACATTTGGACAACGCCCTTCCTCTTGTACTCGGCCAGGACACTGTGTGGCAGATTCCAGGCTGCGAGCGACTTGAGGGCTTCCACATCCACGGCTACATTGCTACTATTCATTGCCTCGCGAATACTCGAGTTTTGTTGGCTGGGCGAGACCAGCAGCTGGTTGGGGGGCATGCTGCTGAGATTCTGCGTTATTGTCGTTTCCCCGGGCGCTTCTGCCATGGCCATCGTACGACTATTCAGCAGATCCAGCTCGAACTGCCTGGAGGACTCCCTATCTCTGACGGGACAGAGAAAACTGCTCTCATCCAGATTGGGCGCCTCCTCAGCTTCTTCATTGTGCTCCGAGCAGACGTCCTCTGGGCACACCTGCGCCTCGAAAACCGACGAGACGTCGTCCTTTTCCTTAATCTCCTTCTCCTGTATCACATATGAAAATTCATCCTGAAAATACTCTGAATAATTTTCGCGGCTTTCGGCTGCAGCTGCTGGCGGCGCAACAACCAAACGTTGTTCCAGCTCCCGCAAGGCGCTCTCGTCGAGGTCCAATGATTGCGAGAACGCCATTCAAACCAGCAATTACTTTACAAAATAAGTATAAATAAATAAATAATTATAAAAATATATTTAAAAAAAGACACCGCGACGGATTCAACTGCGACAGTGTTGTAAAGTGTAAAATTGCAAACTAGTGATGGGACATCGTAAAAACCGTTTGTACCAGAAACGGAACGAAAAAGAAACAATCTTTGCTAAATCAGCTACATTTGTTTTATTAGAACCCCACTTAATTAGTTATTGCAGGAAAATAATAGGTTATCAACATTTGTGATGGCTATATACTACAGAAATCAAAATTGTGTAGTTATCGACTGTTTTTTCGACAATAATCGTGTTCAAAATAAAATATCGTTTCCCGAAACGTACATCAACCCCGACCCTGCCAACTTTCTGCAATATGTAGGTGCAACAGAAATCAGCTGTGGGCAGAAGAAAATCCAGGTAGTTGTTTACCTCTAAAGTATACCATATTTTGCATTTGCTGCAAAAAATGGACGAGTTTAAGGTGCCCGCGCCATTGCCGAAATACAAACCCACTGTGGTTGAGAATCCGCTATGGCTGCAGATAGAAACCACCGAGGAGCCGGCCAATTCGAGGAATATAATACCAGCAATTTGTCCGTACAAGGTGCCCCGCTGGTCTGCACCACCGCCCGCAGACCAAAGCTACAAATTTGAGGTGCTCAAGTCGGGGCAGATCATTGACGAGGTGAGACAGTTGCAGCAACAGGCTATTTGGACATTTGGGCGGCTGCCCGAGAACGATGTGTCCGCCGCGCATCCCACAATTTCTCGCTTCCACGCCGTGCTGCAGTACAAGCCGAAGGCATCTCACGACCACCACTACGAGGACGAGGAGCATCATTCCGAGAAGCCAGCCAAGCCCGAGAGGCCCGAGGGTTGGTACATCTATGACCTTGACAGCACCCATGGCACATACCTCAACAAACAGCGCGTGCCCTCCAAGGTATACATACGAATGCGTGTTGGACACATGCTGAAGCTGGGCGGCAGCTCGCGCATCTACATACTGCAAGGACCCAATGCGGATGCGGAGCCCGAGTCGGAGTTGTCGATCAGCGAGCTGCGGGAGAAGCGTGAACGGGAGGTGGCTGCCGCTGCGGCCGAGAAACAGCGCAAATTACTGGAGGCACAGGAAAGCGAACGCAACGAGGGCGTCAGCTGGGGAATGGGAGAGGATGCCGACGAGGAAACCGATCTCACACACAACCCGTTTGCCAGCTTCAACAACGACGACCTCTTCTTCGACGATCCCAAGAAGACACTGCGGGGATTCTTCGAGCGCGAGGGTCTAAATCTGGAATACAAGTGCGATGAGCTATCGCAGGGATCGTTTGTCTGTCGAGTGGAGCTGCCGCTGGACGATTTCAATGGCAGGCCTATTGTCGTGGAGGTCAACCACAAAGGACGCAAGAAGGATTGCGTGGCGCAGTGCGCCCTGGAGGCATGTCGCACTCTGGACAGACACGGCGTGCTGCGGCAGGCCAACCAGGAGGGACAAAAGCGCAAGATTTTGAAGGCTGGAGACTCGGATGACGAGGATGAGTTCTGGGATCGCACTGGAGATGTTGCGCGCAAGAAGCAGCGCAAGGCAACAGCGGGCTCCAGCGGCCCCCTCACATACGAGCATTTGGTAAGTAAAAAAAAAAGAAAATTCCAAAGAAAATTTACTTAATGTTGTGTTGCCTTTTTTTCGAACAGTTGAAACAGCAAACAGATCTCCTGTCAGAGTTGGGCAAGGTGGAGTTCGAGATTGCCACTTACCAGCTGAAAGAGAAACGAGCCAAGGAAGAGGCCGCCAAGCAGCTGAGTGCCAGCTACGATCTGGACAACTTTATGAACAGTCTCAGCGTGGATATATGGCAAGTGGACAAAACGGAGATCAAAAAGCTTCGGGTTAGTAGCTAGAAATTCCCATTGAACTTTGCTTGACTGACCTCCTCCATTCTCTAGCTGGAGCTGCAGCGCATCAAAGGCGAGCAACTGAGAGTGCAGCGCCTCATCCAAATAGCGAAGCCAGCTTGTTTACCCTACACTACGAGCAGTGCTACAGCCACCATTACATCGTCGGCCCAGGAGGGCAACGGCGCCAAAAAGCAGCTGCCCATGATTGGCAAGCGGAATCAGTTTAGCAAATTCAAAGTGGTCACAGCTTTGCCCAGCTCACGCGCCACAGTGCAATCGAATGCTTTTGCTCCGGATGAGGAGGAAGTCGAAGAGGAAGAGGTGAAGGGAAAGCTGGCAAAAATGGAGATGGAAATGGGAATGGAAACTGTTGCAAAGCCGTCGACTACACCAAATCAGAATCTACCGGAAAGCGAGCCAACCGCCGAAGCGGCAATGGCACCGGCAGCAGCACCGGCAGCGAGCAAACCAACAGCAACCTCCGAGGAGGAAGTCGGACAGGAGTACAACTTTTTGTCAACAGCAGCGCTATCCGAAGTTGCCACTTTTCCTACAGAACTTTTCCTGGCTTTCCCGCTGACAGAGGCGATTGATGACATCAGTACTACGCTGGCAGGCCCCACTCCGACCGAGGAGAGTGCAGAAGATGCAGCACAGAAGAAGCGCCGGCAACGCGCACCGCGACAGCGCAACAACAAGCAGCGTCAGGACGTGGACATGGACATGAATGAGCTATTCGAGCATGAGGATACCGAAAAGTACGCAAAGTGGGTGCCACCAACCAATCAAAGTGGCGACGGCATCACACATTTGAACGAGAAATTCGGCTACTAAAGTTTCAATAGTAGCGCCTAGAAATAAGCCCATTCGTCTATGTAAGCATTCTTTTAGACTACTCGTAGGTATTGTAATGTTTAACAGCTTATTGATATAAATGTTGTGACCCTGTCTGGAAATGCCAATTGGCAACTAAACGAAGCGACGTTATTAATTACCCCACAATATGAGTAGTACTCCCACGGGCTAAGCTCTCTTGCACTCTTGCAACTCCCACCGACCCTTGGAAGCTTTTCAACACACTTCCACTGCTGGGATGTGGTTGATGTTCGTTCCCCTTTTGCTGCCGCTGATAAGCTGCTACCCCTGCTGATTCCACGAAAACGTTCACCCAATAAATCCAATGAAAATTCCTGCGCACATACACAAAATGAACCCCAACATTCGGGCACGACGACCAGCGTGGGCCATCGGGCCATTGGGCCCGTCGGGCCCGTTGCCGTTGCCGTTGCCGAGACTCCAGTACTTGAACTTCCAATTCAGTTATAATTTTGTCACTCTAACCGTCAGCACGGAGGAACGGCTGAGCGTGAAATACCATTTGAGTTTCTATAGCCAATAGCCAATAGCCGAACTTACATGTGTACTTTTGTTTATCAAACACGAATTGATTTGGCTTAGGCAGCAAGATTAATTAGCTCATATCGATCCGGTTTCGCCCACCTTGAAGTTCAATTTGTATGGGAAATCGAATCCAAACCGACCAAAGTCAGTCCTTCAAGGCATCGCCACGAGCGACGGCACCGCTCCGCTGCCACATATATTGGGCTCGTGTATATAGCATAGCCATAGCCATAGCCATAGCCATTGAATACTCGTAGTTTGTGCGCGCATTCAAACGGAATTATTTATATAACTTCTCAGGTGTAGAGCCCACAAAAAAGAGCGAAGAGTGCGTGTGTTTTTAATGCGGCCATCACGTGGATTCCCAACAGACGGAGCACATGTCCGGGCTACACTTTAAGACTCGTAACAGTCCTTCTCAGAAGACGTCCCTCCGTTGGGGCGACTGCTGCCTCACATAGATTGTGTGTGTGTGCGTGCGTGTGCGTGTTCCTAAAACGTATTCCTGGCCAGACTTTACGTTGATTCCTATTTAATTAGCGTAGACGTAGACTCCTGTGAGATCTGTGATCTGCGATTAGGGCAAAAAAGCGAAGACGGTGACTCCAATTCGCGCACTCGCTCGTGCAGGAAATGTTGCATAAGTTGAGGCGCATTTGATTGGCGCGCGCGCTACAGACCAGAAGCCTCTTCTACTTCAGATTCTTGCGGCCAGGCTGGGCGCACAAAGTGGCATCTGCTTTTGAACTTGGCGTACATATTACACAGCAAAGGTGAGTCGATTGCCCACAAATGCGCTGGGACATGCGCAGAGAGCACCCCCAGGGGGTTGGTGAGGGGGTGATTTTCTCTCTGTCCCTCTCGGGCTTTCCAATTGCTGCGCTCTGCGCCCAGTGCTTTGTTAATTTTTTGTGAATGAACCCAGCCGAGTGGGTGGAATGGGTGGATGGGTGCCCACTGTCTATGACGTACTTGCCTTGGCTTGACTCTCTCCCTATTCGACGGCGTATTTTTATGGCAATGATTTTAGCCTAATTATGTATCCAGGCTTTACATAGTGCGTGCGAATGCCCCTATAAATAATGCCCAAGTAGCTGCAACTGCAAGTTAATTGCGCGCCATTAGCAAGGACACAGACTGTCACAGACAGGAGCAGGGGCGGGCACAGGAACTACCTCCTATTATAGCAACCTCGGTTATCCTTGTGCACAAAGGTCAGCACCACGGATGGCCATGACAAGCCACTGCAATGGCTTAATATTTAATGCTGCGTGGCGCTAGTTAATTGAAGAGCGGGCGAAAATAAACGCGTGCACCCGTCCCCGTCCCCGTCCCCAGGCGTCGCATGCAACAGTATTCACAATTATGCTCATGAACATTACTTCTCTGCTCTCTCCCACCCCCCTCCAAACCCACCCGATGCCAAACGCGTATCACATTGCAGCTTACAGCTAAAGGTCGAATCCATTGTGAGGTCGGTAAATTAATTTACGCCACAAGCAGAGCGCCGAGCAGAGCGGAGAGAAGGAGCCCCGACTTGATTTCCATAACCAAGCCAAGGACGCGGGTCGATTCCCAAGGATGATTAATGTCGCTGGCTGTGTGAGCATTGCGCTCTTCTATGGCCTCATCCTGGTGGTGGGCATTTGGGCAGGTCGCAAGAAGCAGGCGGGCAATGATTCCGAGGAGGAGGTGATGCTGGCCGGACGCTCCATTGGCCTGTTCGTTGGCATCTTCACCATGACGGCCACCTGGGTGGGAGGCGGCTATATCAATGGCACGGCAGAGGCCATCTACACATCGGGTCTGGTCTGGTGCCAGGCGCCCTTTGGCTATGCTCTCAGCTTGGTTTTCGGTAAGTTTTCATAAGGATTGCGTAAACAAAGCTCTACTGAGCTCTCTGCTGATGCTTTTGCCGCTCTCTTCCATAGGTGGCATCTTCTTTGCCAATCCCATGCGCAAGCAGGGCTACATCACTATGCTGGACCCGCTGCAGGACTCGTTTGGGGAGCGCATGGGTGGCCTGCTCTTCCTGCCCGCTCTCTGCGGTGAGGTCTTCTGGGCAGCTGGCATTTTGGCAGCGTTGGGCGCCACCTTGTCGGTCATCATTGACATGGATCATCGCACCTCGGTCATTTTTTCCTCGTGCATTGCCATTTTCTACACACTCTTCGGCGGCCTCTATTCCGTGGCCTACACGGATGTGATTCAGCTGTTCTGCATCTTCATCGGCCTGTGGATGTGCATACCGTTCGCCTGGACCAACGAGCATGTGGGCAGCCTGAGCGACCTCGAGGTGGACTGGATAGGGCATGTGGAGCCCAGAAAGCACTGGTTGTACATAGACTACGGACTGCTGCTGGTCTTTGGGGGCATTCCCTGGCAGGTGTACTTCCAGCGTGTCCTCTCCAGCAAGACGGCTGGACGGGCTCAGCTGCTGTCCTATGTGGCCGCTGCCGGATGCATTCTGATGGCCATTCCACCTGTCCTGATTGGTGCCATTGCCAAGGCCACACGTGAGTTAAGCGAGATCCCAATTTGACTTCTACTGATTTCTGATTTCCATAGCTTGGAACGAGACGGACTACAAGGGTCCCTATCCGCTGACTGTGGACGAGACGAGCATGATATTGCCCATGGTGCTGCAGTATCTGACGCCCGACTTTGTGTCCTTCTTTGGGCTGGGCGCCGTCTCCGCCGCTGTCATGTCCTCCGCCGACTCCTCCGTGCTGTCGGCCGCCTCCATGTTTGCACGCAACGTTTACAAATTGATTTTCCGTCAGAAGGCATCCGAAATGGAAATCATTTGGGTAATGCGCGTGGCCATCGTTGTGGTTGGCATTCTGGCCACCATTATGGCCCTCACAATTCCCTCCATATACGGCTTGTGGTACGTCCAAATCTACATAATTCAGCCCGATTGGCAGCTCATCTGCTTGAGTGGATTCCTCACCGCTGTCTCTCTGTATTCCCCGCTCTCCGCCTGATAGGTCCATGTGCTCGGATCTGGTCTACGTCATTCTGTTCCCCCAGCTACTGATGGTGGTGCACTTCAAGAAGCATTGCAATACGTACGGCAGCCTGGCCGCCTACATTCTGGCCCTGCTCATCCGGCTGTCGGGCGGCGAGGCGATCATCGGACTGCCCGCCCTCATCAAATATCCCGGCTACGATGAGGAGGCGAAGGAGCAGATGTTCCCCTTCCGCACAATGGCCATGCTGCTCAGCCTCATAACCCTCGTCTTCGTCTCCTGGTGGACCAAGTAAGTGCAAATAATCTTGCTGGTTACCTCAACCCTCACCTTCCCACCCTCTCGCATCTTTCTCCGTCAGAATGATGTTCGAGTCGGGCAAGTTGCCGCCCAGCTACGACTATTTCCGTTGCGTGGTCAACATACCCGAGGATGTGCAGCGCGTGGGCGATCCCGCGGAGTCCGGCGAGCAGCTGTCGGTGATGGCCGGGCCACTGGCACGTTCCTATGGCGCCGCCACCATGGCGGGCAAGGACGAGCGCAACGGACGCATCAATCCTGCCCTGGAGTCCGACGACGATCTACCCGTGGCGGAGGCGCGACGCTTGAACCAGCAGACGGCACAGGCGCAAGTGAAGAAGATGCTGGACACGGCCACTGGCAGCGGCGGCGGGCAGTTGAGCCAGTCCGGCATGGCCATGGCCATGCCCACGCCCGAGCAGGACAATACGGCCTTCTGAGTGGAGTCCCAGCAGATGTGGATGTGTCCCGGGTCGTAAGATTAGAGCCTGCAAGTATGCTAACATTTTATTTTGTTGAGTTTTTTTCATTTTAAGTTTGCGCTTGTTAGGGATTGGATGGTGATGGGATGGCGATGGAATTGGCTGGAGTGAAGAGTGGAGAGTGGAGTGGTACAGAAAGTATTTTGAAACGTACGTTAAACACACAAGTGCTCAGGTATAAAGTGCAGAAAGCTGATTGTAAAACTTACATATAATTTAGCCAATTTATATACATATATACATATGTATGTATATCGTATTATGTATAGGTTTCCACATGCTTAAAGCGTTTTACATATATTTATTCTATGGATTTCGAAACTTGATTTCTGTTGTTGAATTTTTTGTTGCTAGTAGCGAAAGTAGTTGCATATAAATGTTAAATCCGAAATGCGATAATCGATTAACTGAATCGATGAACTCAATACATATCAAATGCATTTTCCATTGAAGAAAGAGAATTGCATTCAAATCTGGCTGAAAAGGTCAAAGAGGAGCGCCGGCAAATACTTTGGCGAATCGGTATACAATCCGGATTGGCATATCGGATCTGCATACACACAGCAACGGGTACTATACAGATGCATTAAATGTGAATCATGTGTCCTTCCAGAACGAACAAAGAGAAAGCTAAGCAAAACTACATACGAGTATCCACAAAAATATAAAACGCAAACGAAACATATCAAAACCAAAAACCAAAACCAAAGGCGGAACTAATATACTTACATATTATAGCAAACGAAAAGGAATACATATCATTTGTGTAACTGTTGTTTTGTAAGCTACACATATAGGGGATACCATATACATGCCTACCATATATTGTAGTGTATATGTAAATGATGCAAAACAACAAAATACGTAGTTGTGTAAGTGTAAGAGGCGGGCATATTGAGGCATATTGAGTTATATAGACAAATGAATTTTAGCTGCTCTCAAAGAGCAAAAACAAACACAATATTACAGAACAAACAAACGTACAGACATATGTAAAATGTTGCGTCGTAGTACCTAATAATATACCTATAAATACAAGCATACACACATATAAATATATATACATACCCATGATATATCAAAAGACAGACACTGAATTTAGAAAGTTATACCCTGCGACACCCACTGGTCCCAGACAAATGAAATTCTAATCTAACGATGTACACACGCTGCCTAAAACCCCCAAACATGAACCTGAATCTGAATCTGAACCTATAGTAAATCTAAATCTAAACATAATTACGATTACTGGCAAGAGGGTTTCTTTCAGATATTTATAATCGAGAGATGTGCGTTGGTTCCTCTAGTTTTGTCATTTGTTAAAGTTACCTCCCGTTGGCAAGAAGAACTCAACTCAACTCAACTCAACTAAGCATTAAATATATGCATTAACTAACTTGATAAAGAGTGTTAAACCCGTCTATATATATATATAACTCACATAAGTGTAATAAATGTTGACTGCTTTTTGATTGAGCCTCATATGTTTGTTGTATTGGGGATTAAATGTTTTTTAACGTTTACAAACGAGTACTAAGTGGAACTGAAAAGTGTTTGAGCCACACACACACACATACATACATATATACGATATCATACCAAATCTGTTCGTTGTTATTGTTATTATCTATTACTTTATTAGATCTGAGTGTGTACCTTTCGATAAAGTTCAAATCAAATTCCGTTTTAACCAGAACTTTTCAACTAAATTCCAGCAAAAACTACTTATACTTATACTCGTACTCGTATATAAATATATGCTCGTCTGAATGTATTTTTAATTTCCCATTTAAGAGTTCTTTCGCAGCAGTTGAATCCACTTTGTACATACATAATCAAGTTACTTGAATTGTTTGTAATGTTACTACTATCAACCGAAACTAAAACTAAAACCACCAAATAATTATTTATGCATTAAACGAGACGATCCTGCAAAGCGAGTTTGCATCCAAAATAAACCAAAACTAAAAACTAAAACTAAACAAATCGATCAATTTTGTTGTGCAATAAGTTGAAAAAAAAAAGGTATTTACGTTACGTTACTGTTATTACTATAACGGGATCGGGATACCCCGATTCCATAATAACTTAACTTTTAGTGGCATTATGTTAACCAATAAAAAAACGAGGGGCTGCAGCCCACGAGGAGGGGAAGATTAAACGGAATACATATCAATGTTTTAAGCATAGCAAAATGGCATAAAGAAAAAACCAAACCGTAAAATCGTAAAATCGAAACGAAACAAAAGTATTTAATAAATAAAAATTATATATATATACATACAAATAATATTAAAATGGTTTCTCTGTTGACGCAAATGCAAATGCAAAACTTTGTCTGGTTATTTATTCTATTTCTCAGTACTTGCTGACTTTTGGGCTTGTGTAATAAACACACACATTACGGCCCAACAAAAGCCGCCAAGTGACAATACCCAGACAATGGGATTATATTACAGCGAGTGGAAATTTCTCAGCCCAATGTTAAAGAGCAGACTGCTGACTGCTGACGGTGAAAAACAATGCAGTTTTTGGGCGGATGTTGATCCCATGCCCAAGAGACCCAAGAAGATCTGCGAGCATGAGGCAATGATGCGACAGTTACTTATTTTATTTAAAAGAAAATCAGATAGTTTAAGTGCCAAACTGGCAGCACTGATCTCTGCCAGGCAACACTACTCGCAATTAGCATGCTAATTATGCTGCTACTGCTGCTGCTGCTGCTGCTGCTGCTTCAGCTGTAATTAAGTTGTAATCCCAATTAGATATGAATCTCAGATTGAGCGCTCTCCATCATAAGCCCATAACTTGTGTCGCTCAAGAATTGCCCACTAATAGTGGCTGCAGCTTCAGTGGCATGGCTGGCGTGGCGGTCGTGTCTGTGTGGATGTTCGCTGCCATGTCAGTGGATGTGGCTGGTCTGTTACTTGCTGTGGCAGCTGTACGAGTATATCCGGTATTTTCGTACATTTTCCATTTGCATTGTTAGCCGAAGCCGAACCTTCAACTGTCATTTGGCTTTGGCTGGCCGTTAGCTGGGTGTCTTTTTCTCATCAGGCCAATTAGGCAAGACGAAGAATTTCACGAATGTCGCGGATGTCGCGGATGAGGCGAATGTGAAGGTAAGCGATCGCCCAGAACTGATCGCCCCAAGCCCAAAGCCCAAAGCACACAACTTGATCTGTTCTTCAACGTGTTTATTTAACAAACATTTTGTTATATCTAATGATACAATGAGTTACGGCTAGAGTTCAATGGGAGACAAGAAAAAAAGGACGGACTGTGTGCCGTTCGTGGAATAATTTACAGATACGAAATACGAATAAAAATGGCGACGCATTTGAGATGAAAGCGATGACATGATGGGCTCGAGAGTATTCGAAGGCACGTGGCGGATGCGATGCAGCGGCTCACTTCTTGCGGTAGGTGTAGCCGCCGTTGGAGCTGTAGCCCTGCTGGATGGTCTCGGGCACTTGGCTTTGGCTGGGACCGGAGTAGTTGTAGCCAGAGTCCTCAGCGGGCGACCCGTAGGAGGACGAGGGTGCACTGGGATACGAGCCAGAGCTGGACGAACCGCTGGCGGGCGCTGCGCTATAGCTGGACGAGGGACCACTGGGAAAGCCGTCATCGGCAGCAGGTGCTCCATACGAGCTGGAAGGAGCGCTATATGAGCTGGACGGACCCGAGGGATAGCCACCGCTTGCCGAGGCGGACGAAGACGAGCCGAATGCAGGAGCTGCCGAAAAGGATGAGCCCGAACCTGAGCCAGATCCAGAGCTGTAGCTGCCAGAGCTAGATCCCGACGAAGGAGTACCGTACGACGTGGAGGGCGCACTGTACGAGTTGGATGGGGCAGCAGGGTAAGGTCCATCACTGTTGGAACTGCTGCTGGGTGCCGAGTACGAAGAGGACGGGGCAGCAGGGTAGGGTCCGCCACTGTTCGAGCTACCACTGGGAGCACCGTAAGAGCTGGATGGGGCCGATGGATACGGTCCGCCGCTGTTTGCACTGGGGCCTGGTGCAGAGTACGAGGAAGAGGGAGCAGCTGGGTAAGATCCTCCGCTGTTGGCGCTGGGGCTTGGCGTGGAATACGAGGAAGAGGGAGCAGAAGGATAGGATCCTCGTGTTGGCGCTGGGGTTGGTGCGGAGTACGAGGAAGAGGGAGCAGCTGGGTAAGGTCCTCCGCTGTTGGCGCTGGGGCTTGGTGCGGAGTACGAGGAAGAGGGAGCAGCTGGGTAAGATCCTCCGCTGTTGGCGCTGGGGCTTGGCGCGGAATACGAGGAAGAGGGAGCAGAAGGATAGGATCCTCCGCTGTTGGCGCTGGGGCTTGGTGCGGAGTACGAGGAAGAGGGAGCAGCTGGGTAAGATCCTCCGCTGTTGGCGCTGGGGCTTGGTGCGGAGTACGAGGAAGAGGGAGCAGAAGGATAGGATCCTCCGCTGTTGGCGCTAGCACTTGGCGCAGAGTAGGAGCTGGAGGGCGCCGAGTGGAATGATCCACCACTGCCGGAACCCTTGCTTGGCGCACCGTAGGACGAGGAAGGTGCCGAGGAGAAGCTGCCAGAGCCGGAGCCGGCGCTGGGTGCTCCATAGCTGGACGAAGGCGCTGAGACTGGTTGGAACGATGAGGAGACCGATGGAGAACCGTACGACGACGAAGGCGCCTCATAAGATGCGGCTGGTCCCGAGGTGTATCCACTGCTTCCCAGCGACTGGGTCTTCGACGGAGTCCCGTAGTTGGTCGAGGGCGCCGATGCCAGTGGCACGAAGCTGCTCACACTGGGCGCATTGTAGGCCGCGGAAGGCTTCGCGGGCCGCGAGATGGGAGGCAGGTACGAGTTCGTGGGACCTTGGGAAGGTGCTCCATAGCTGGAGGATGGCTGCGCGGGTGCTCCATAGGACTGTGAGGGCTGTGCGGGTGCGCCATACGATTTTGAGGGTGGCGCAGGTGCTCCATAGGAAGAAGAAGGTGGTGCAGGGGCTCCATAGGATGATGATGGCTGCGGGGGTGGTCCATAAGACTTGGAGGGTGGAGCAGGTGCTCCGTAAGATTTGGAAGGGGGTGCAGGTGCTCCATAGGACGAAGAAGGGGGTGCGGGAGCTCCATAGGACTTGGAGGGTGGAGCAGGTGCTCCGTAAGATTTGGAAGGGGGTGCAGGTGCTCCATAGGACGAAGAAGGGGGTGCAGGTGCACCATATGAAGATGAAGGTGCCGCGGGAGCTCCGTAAGATTTGGAAGGGGGTGCAGGTGCTCCATAGGACGAAGAAGGTGGTGCGGGAGCTCCATAAGATGATGATGGCTGTGGGGGTGGTCCATAGGACTTGGAGGGTGGAGCAGGTGCTCCGTAAGATTTGGAAGGGGGTGCAGGTGCACCATAGGAAGAGGAAGGTGGTGCTGGCCGCGGGGCGCCGTAGCTGGAAGACGGACGACGCTGGTGATGTTTCTTGGCCTGTGGTGGAGGTCCGTACGATTGGCTGGGGCGACTGGGCGGTGCGCCGTAGCTGGAGGAGGGTCGCTGGGCTGGGGCTCCATAGGAGCTGGACGGACGTGGCGCTGCAGCCGGATATGGACCGCCCGACGAACTGCTCTGGGGGGGAGCGCCATAGCTGCTGGATGGACCAGCATTGAAGGAGGGGGCCGGGCCAGAGGCTGGGGGCAGATAGGAGCTGGGCGGTGGTGCGCCGTACTTGGAGGATGGCCTGTGGGGCAAGGACGATGAGGGCGGCAGGTAGCCGTTGTTCAGCGGCGCCTCACGTTTCGCGGCTGCCGCATCGTGGACCAGGGCGACGCCAACGACGACGACGGCGATGACACCAAAAAGCTGCAACAAAAACGAGGAAATTAGTTTTTTTGTGGCGCTTGGGTCGATGCTCTGCTCTGCTCTGCTCTGCTTACCAATCGCATGACTGATGCTGCTGCTTCTTCTGCTGCTGATGCTGCTGCTGATGCTGTTGTGGACGCGTTTCAAATGCAAATTAATCAAGCTGCAATGAGACGAAGAGATGGAAGATGAGGCGCTGTGGAAAGTGAATCTGTGCGTCCAGCAGGCAAGAAATAAAAAATTGTATAGATAAATTACGTTAATGTTGCATAAGTTTTGCTTCTTTTTTTTGCAACATTACGGCTAGCTAGCTGACCGATAAATGTTGGGGGCCACACGGGGCACAGACTTCAATCGGCCATCAATCTTGGCTTGGCCTGGCTGGCTGGCAGGCAGGCAATGCCAAGAACTGGCCCAGCTGCCGGAGCGTGTCGCCTGGCATTGAAAAATATTCATTCGCATTTAATTGGGTTTTGGCCAAATGCCCAGAAGCCGAAGATCATGGAGCTGAGCTCCAACAAGCTTTTGTGGCTGCCACAGCTCTGCATTACTGGCCCAAAATTCCCATTGAAAATAAAGTGAAACTTTTCTTTCTTTCTCTACATTTTCATTTCCCTTTCCCTATAATTTGTGGCTGAAAGCCTCCAAATTGAACAAAAGCCAGCAGCTAAGCGCTGCGGGGGCGTGATCATCCGCTGTGCCACTAACGGAGGGGTGGGGTGGTGGGTGCACAAGTGTCATAGATTTTTATGACATTGCAAAATCGCAAACAGTGAGAAATTGCCAACTGTCTTGGATGACTTCTCTGTGGCACTGCTACTCCTACTCTTTCGGTGCGGCTTGTGGCATGTGCAGTAACTGATTGACACATATTTTCCTTTTCTTGCCTTTCCAGCTACTGGGTGCCAATTATTATCTCTCCTTTTTGGCCACACTCACTCGCACACTCGGATTCGGTTCGGTTTGGTTTGGTTTGGTGCGGTTTTCGTTTTTTGTTTGGCTTTCTGCACTTTCCGTTATTGTTTGTGATGGCTTAAGGCACGGGCCCGACGACTCGTGTTACTCCTCCGCCTGCCGTTGTTGCCACAAGAATTTTAATTGTTTTCCGAAGCTCGCCTAACTACTTTGACTTATTTGACCCGTGCGGTGTGGAAATAACAATTGGAAATGCAATGCCAATGCTTCTTATGCAAGAATCAGCCGCAAAGAATCTCTTGGGGGAATCTCTTGATTATCCTTTGTGGGCACTAACCGTTCTGTGAGCAGCTTCTGTGTTGCTGGGGATGGGGCGGAAACTGAACTGAACTGGAGATGTAATGCTCCACCGATGGACAAATGCGAACTATACTGCTGTCTGATGCGCAGCATGCACTTTTATACAAAATCATAACCGCGCAAAGCCACAAAAAGCCAAAAAAAAAAAACCAAACACACACGAAAACCAAAAAGCTCCCAGCACTGCGAAGAAGACGCTGGCAGAGCACCATCAGGCAGCAGCAGACAGCAGGCAGCAGCGCCAGCAGAGGTAGAGCTATTTTTTCCCCCGTTTTGGTACTTTATGTAACTCTTCAAATGCACTCACTCTCCAAAAGCGAACAGTAACGGCAACAGCAGCAGCAGCAGCAGCAGCAGCAGAAACAGAAACAAGGCAACAAGTGCCCGCCTAGAGCTGTGGCGCATGCGCAGCGTCGCTGCCAGCGTTGCGCATCTGCCATGCCAGAGCGAATCATATAAGCAAAAGACAAAAACAAAAAACCAAAAACCAAAAGACGCCAGCGGGGAAGCTTTTTGCGGTTTTGTCTTTTTGTTGTTGCGGCTTTGTTTTTGCATTGATAAAAAGAAATTGGATCGTGGACTGCCGCAGCGGCTGTCAAGTTCAGTGGCAACATCTGTAGGTGGTAAATATGTAAATACACATTACATATGTATGTACATAAGTTTGGGATAGATTAAGTTGGATTAGGTTACAGACCTACCCGCGGGATCCTTTGTATAGCAATAATTCCTTTGCTTTCCTGATCCTTCTACTTTGATCAGAATTCTCGTTCAATTTTCGTTTGACGCTTCAATGTCCGGCGCGCGGGTTATTTCTTCCATTCTCCTTTAGGCTAGAATTTGCCTCTGCTTCCGGCTTCGTCAATACTCGGCCCGCGTCGAGTCGAGCCACAGAATACAGAAACAAAATATGAAGTCTTTGACGACGAGAATGGGTCCAGGGCCGGATTAGCCCTTAGGCAGTTGCCTAGGCCCCTGATTTAAGGGCTATCATAATAATTTGTTAACAAAAACAAAACTCCAAAAAAATTAATAAAAAATATAAAAGCCCCGCCACTGAAAAAAATAAAAAATAATAATTAGATTCGCTAAAGCTCTGGAAAATGTTCTACTATATGTGTACATTTATTTTATTCAAAGCGTTCATAAAATATTTTTCATTTTGCCACCTCTTTTTGGCTCCACTTTAAATACACATAATGCAAACAAATAAAAACTTTAAAACCAAACTCGACCTATTCAGGGCCGAAGGCCTAGGGGTGCTGGGACACAAAACTCAGTTGCGACACGTTCGGTGTATTAACTGGCACATCTATATACATACTGTATGGTTAGTGGTTCTGTGCTAAATTGCATTTTCAATTTCAGTACGATTTCAGTAAATAAAGAATCAAAAAACTCCAAGCCAAATAAATCTTCCCACACGATTAATCGGGAAAAAGTAACTTATTACTCGAAAAAAAAAGGAAAAAACAATTGCAGTATAGGAAAATCGTTTTGATTTAGGGTTTATTGTTAGGCAACTGTTGGCGGCATCTCTGGCTTCTTCCAGATGTAGCTGGCCCAGGGAATGCACTCCTTGAGCAGATGCATATACGCCAGCCCATGGGGACAGTCCACCTCAGTGGCGGGTTGGCCCAGGGTCTCGCACAGCCAGTACTTTGCGGCATCGAAGTGATGTGTGTAGGTCTGTCCTAGCTCGGACTCATCCTTGCAGGCCGAGCGTCCGGCGTCCGCATTCACGCCACCCATCAGCATGGCGGCCAGGAAGATGGCGCAAAGAGCAACAGAGACTGCAAGCCATAGAAAAATCGATATGGTCAATATGTATGAAAAAACGCCATTGGAGACTGACTCCCACACCCACCAGAATTCATTTTGTGAGCAGTAAAACAATGAAAGTTTCTCCGTAGAAAGAAGCAACTGTGAGCGCCCCACTCTCCAAACGGCACTTTTATAGGTCCGGGGGCAACAAAAAGAATAATTCAAAAGAATAACAAAAGTATTGACATTTTGACACACGCGCACATCCGTTGATTATTATCTGGGGAATCGAACACTGCGTGGCGGAGTCTCACAGAGGGGAGCTGATGGTATCATAGGAAATCAGGAGCGAGTAACTGAGCAGAAGAGAAACTTCAACATACATATATTTAAGTATATTTTATTGGACTCTCATATACCCTCGACATTATTTAATTGAAATTCAAGGAGAGGAACAAGGCCTTCATTTTTGGGACTCGCATTCAATATATTCTGGAATAAATATTTATTTGCTCGAACTGCTGCATACGCTATCACAAAGACAATATACCCGTCAGCACAGGAGAAATGTGCCCAAAAGAGCAGGTCGGAAACCAGCATCGATGTCAAGATAAGAAAGACAGACTGCCAAATGATTGTCCCAGGTGCGCGAAGGGGGTGGGGAAGTAAGCAAAAAGATATTAGATAAATTGAAACTTTTGTGGGTGCATCCAAATTTAGATGCCACACTGCATCCGAATGTTGTTCTCTAATTGATGTGAACATGCTGAAATTACCAGTTCATGATTTGGCACACAGCACGCGCCGTTCTCCAGCATCATTATCATCATTAATATTTTCATTATGATTATCATATTTTGTTGACTCATCCGAATGCATATTGATTGACAGTTTTTCGAGCGTAACTTGAGTAGTGCTCATTCATGCCGAAACCATAATCGGATCGAATCGCATCGAATCGAATGGAATCGAATCGGATGTTTCCATAATTCATAAACAAATGCCGAAATGTGAATCCGTTTAAATTGTGCAACATTTAGGTCTATCGGCCCATTCATTAATTAATTGCTGACCATTTGCTTGCCGTGGCAGTTTTTTTTTGTATTTGTCTTTTTGTTTTGTCATTTTGCAAAGTATTTTACATTTATGTTAACTGTTTGTTTCTTTGTAGCTTTTTGTCTGGTTTCGGTATCGGCCGATTGCCGATTGTCCGTTGGCCCCCTCAAGCATTTTTGAGCGCCAGCCCAGACCAAGCCACTTGACCAACATAAATACTCGTAGCGAAAAAAAAACCAGCAAAATTAAAAGACAGCAACAAATATCACGAAATGCGACAGAGGCTTTGCAAAGAAAGAAAAACGAAACAAAAACCGTTTAGTAGCAAAAGTTTGACGAAAACAAAAACCCTGAAAATCGCTTACAAAATGTCTTAAAGTGTAATTACAGTTTCCGCGTTGAAGTAGCAAGCCCATCCACGGCTAGCAGATGCCGTAGATAGTAGCTGGGGAAGGTGGGGGGGGGGGAGGTCGGGGTTGCAGTGGCTCTGTCAGAGGTGTTGCCAATCAGCAGGGAGCCTCAGCAGTAGCTGACGTTGGTCCTAGGAGACACAACAACAGCCGAGATGACGCTGCTTGTTGGCTCTTCTGCAAAGCCGCTGATTATTTTATTTTGAGCAAGATGATACTAGTATGAAGGCTACGCAGCAGTGCAGCGGCTAATTATCGATTAAGTCGAGTCGACACGGTCTCGGGCCCCCAGCTAAGTCCAATTAATGTGGCCAAGAGAAATGCGGCTAGTTATGACTGCACAAAGCGACGGGGTGAGGGGGGCTTGCCGGGCTGATGGGCTGGCACCGTGGCATCGAATCGCTGGCTAAAAATAAGTCAAAACTCATTTGGACTAAGTGATTTTGCGTGTGCCGCCAATGTCGGGGAAACAAATGTCACGGAAATGGCGATAAGAAAAGTCACCAAAAAAAAAAGAAAAGAGGAGAGTATCTGCAATAAATTGAACCCTATAAATATGCCATTCCCCAGTCTTCGATTGCAATATTGTCATCGTCGAGCATTC